TGAACCTACGTAACGTGCTGGCTTTGTGGGAGCCTAGCCAGTTTGGATGTTCGCCTTCCTAGAAATGGACGGAGGGGGGAGGACCTAGGACTTACCACAGGGCAGGGAACCCTGACTGCTCTTTGGACTGGAGAGGGAGGGGGAGAGGAGTGGGGGGAGGGGGAGAAGGGTGGGAGGAGGGGGAGGGAAATGGGAGGCTGGGAGGAGGTGGAAACGTGTTTTTTTTTTTTCTTCTCCTTTTCTCAATAAAAAAAAAGTTTAAAAAAAAATAAATAAAGTACTTGGAAGGCAGAGGCAGGCTGATCTCTGTGAATTCAAGGTCAGCCTGTTCTACACAGAAAGTTCCAGGACAGCCAGAGCTACACAGAGCAACCCTGTCTCAAAAACCAAAAAATAAACAAACAAATAAGTAATAAAAAAAGAGCAGTAGGAGCCCATTTTGGGAGGCCGAAAGAGAACCTACATAATTAGTATTAGGCACTTTTTTATCCATGGTTATGAGTGCCAGAAAAATACTCTGGAGTTATTTATTTTGTTTGCTTTTTGAAACAGGGTCTCTCTACATAGCCCCAGCAGTCCTGGAACTCACTATGTAGACCAAGCTGGCCTTGAACTCACAGAGATCCTCCTGCCTCTGCCTCCTGAGAGCTGGAATTAAAAGTGTGTACTACCATGCCTGCTTGGGATTGTTGTTTTTGTTTTTTAAAACAGGGTTTCTCTGTGTAGGCCTGGCTATCCTGGAACTTACTTTACTATGGTCTCAAACTCGGAGATCCACCTGTCTCTGCCTCCCGAGTGCTGGGATTAAAGGCGTGCGCCACCACCGCCCGGCCCGGTTGGGATTATTTCTAAAGCCCAAGAGGATGCTGTTTTCCCCCTGAAGCCCCAACTGAGTCTGTCTGCCACAAATCAGGCCACCCAAGGACACCATAACACATGACAGGGCAGGGCGATGGTGGTGCACGCCTTTAATCCCAGCACTCGGGAGGCAGAGGCAGGTGGATCTCTGTGAGTTCGAGACCAGCCTGGTCTACAGAGTTAGTTCCAGGACAGGCTCCAAAACCACAGAGAAACCCTGTCTCCAAAAAAACCAAAACAAAAAAAAAAAAAAAAGATATGACAGGGAAACTTACTTTTCTGGAGCTGCAGAAGCCACATCCCGGTCATACAGTCTGGCCTGCCAGGGAAACAGGACAACCCCTCGGTAGCCAAAAACGCTATGAAGGAACAGCTGGAAGGAAAAAGAGAGCTCACTGAGCCTGTAGTCCAGCAAATCCATCCAGGTGGGACCTGACCATGAAGTAGTATGGGTACAGGCAACTGTAGCACAATCTTGCCCGCTTTCCCCGCAAACTCTGCACTTAACCTAAATTGCAATATGCTCATGCCTCATCACTGGGTGACCCCACTCACCTTTGGCCTTTAGGGAACTTTCCTTGACCCTCCTCTTAGTCCAGTATATAGTCACTGGTTCTATTTCTTTGTCTTTTTTAAAGATTTATTTTACTTTTAATTGTGTGTTTGTATCAGTATGTGGGTACATGCATGTGAGTGCAGGGACCCAAGGAAGTCAGACATTGAATCCCCTGGATCAGGAACTGTAGGCAGGTCCTCTGGAAAAACAGAAAGCACTCTTACCCACTAGACTATCTCTCCAGCCCCTACTGACTGTATCTCTATCATTGTCCTGGACCTGTGAACTCCAGGACAGAAAGAACACTAAAGCTTAACACCTGGTCAGTTTTAGGCATACAGATAAATAAATAGCTTCCATTACTTACAATGGCCTTTTGCTTCAGAGGGTTTTGAATTTTTGTATGCCAGTCTGGCCTCAATCTTGCTAGGTAGCTAAGAATGACCTCAAAGTCCTCATCCTCCCACCTCCGCATCTCAAGTGTTAGGCTCACAGGAGTAGGCCACCACATTCAGTCTGTGCTGTAGGAGAATGGAAACCAAGGCTTCAAGCCAGCCAGGTACTCTAAACTAAACAACATCCCTAGCCTGATTTGTATTTTATTTTTAATATTTTTTTATTTATGCATTGGTGTTTTGCCTCATGTATATCTGTATGAGAGTGTCAGATACCCTGGAATTGGTATTATAGATAGTTGTAAGCTGCCATGTGGATGCCGGGAATTGAACCCAGGTCCTCTGGAAAAACAGCCAGTGCTTTTAACTGCTGGGCCATCTCTCCAGGCCTTGAGCCATCTCTCCAGGCCTCTGATTATATTTTTAACAAGGATCTTTTTAAATAAGAGTTGTTATTATTACTTTGGGAAGGTGTAAATGTACAAGTGCCATGGTGTGTGGAAGCAAAGGATGACTTTGTGGAATCAGTTCTCTCTGCCATTTTTACTTCCAGGCTTCCTCAGTAAGAGCCTTTACCACTGCGCCATATCACTGGACTCTTGCTGACCTCAAAATTGAAGCATTCTTTCTGCCCTGCTTCTGGAGCAATGGGATGAGATGCTACTGTGTACCTATCTCCAGACACCTCTTCTTTAAAAAGCTTGTGATTCTAATGCACACAAGGTGTGTACATGCACCAACACCCAGGCACACTAAATAAACAAATGTGAAAGATCTTTGGGTCAGTTAGATGGTTCACTGGGTAAAGACAATTGCCACCAAACCTAATGACCTGAGTCTGATCAGAGCCCCAAATGGTGGGAGGAAAGAACCACTCTCCACAAGCTGTCCTTGGATCTCCAGGCATGGGCGCGTGCTCGCTCTCTCTCATGCACATTAAGTCAACATAAACTTTTTTTAAATTTGTGATTCTGAGCTGAGCATGGTTTCAAACATCTATAACCTCAGAATTCTGTAAATTAAGGAAATAAGATTACAAGTTCAAGGTCAGCCAGGATTATAGAATGAATTCAAGGCTAAACGAAACTATATAGAAGACCCTGCCTCAAAACAAAACCAAGACTTATGAACTTGGTCTACCACCAAACATGAAGACGGATAGAAGCTTGAGGGTTCAGCTCAGCGATACAGCATCTGTCTCTAGCATTATGGGGAAGGGGATTTGGAATGAAAAGAAAAAAATAGCACTGAGATTCAGTACTGTGGCCAAATATAGCTCAATTTCAAAACAGAATAGTCCATGAAAACGAGAGCTGACCCAGCACATACCTACCTGCCCAGTCTCATATTTTCCGTTCTGTTTTGGCACCTCAAACACACCAACTGTCTCCAACACCTTGCCCTCTGCACGGTTTCTGGTAAGGAAAAGAATAAGCAAATGAAATGCTAAGAAGGTAACAGTTCTTCCCCATCAGGAGAAACAAAACAAATAAAAAACCCTCGCATACTAAGGAGCCAGCGTGCCGGCATTCGGAGGGGCCAGGGCAATGATAGCAGAGAAGGCCAAGAATGCTGCCTTTTCTCCTCTAAGACTCAGCCATAGGCGTCTCCCAGTGTCAGATCTAACTACTCCAAATTGACTTTCTCCTGCCTAAACTTAGCATGCCCAAGGTCATGCCTGCACACCGTGTTTAAATGTACATCTTCACCCACCCCACCCCGCCTCCCACAGCATTTTAGCTGTCCTTCCAGTTCTGCACTTCAGCCACTGGTGTCCTCGCCTGAGTCCATGAGAGACTATTTGTTCCGAGAGCAATGCCTGGTGCGTAAGAAGTGCTCACAAAGCGGATGTTCTGAGGCAAGCCGTTCTCTTTCTGCTCTTACCCACTCCTCCTTGCAGTGCACTCAATAGACCTGTCATCCCCTACTCTGAAAAATTGTTCTGAATGAATATGGTTCCCCACGTCTGTAATCTCAGGGCTCTTGAGGCTGAGGCTGGAGGATCACAAGTTCTGGGGCAATCTGGGTACACAGCATGACTGTCCCAATTCTACACATCCATCTACCCTCTAAACTGTAACCGTCTTTCCGCTGACCTCAGGACTTAACATCTCTAGATTGCCCAAGGTACAGCATACAGCACACTTAACTACTGCAGTCTCTCGACATAGTGCCCCTCCCCCCCAGAATTATTTAAGTCTTAAATATAGCAAATACCTCCCTCAGCTACTATCGAGTTAGTTCCATCTTTTTAAATAGGACTAATTTTTCTGTGGGCCCATCAAAGCACTGTGATTTTATTTTGGAAATGTTGACTTCATACCCAACTCGATCTGTCCTGCCTGGTCCCTAAAAGGCTTTGTTTACACCTTTCCCAAGCCTCGAATCCTCTTTCCCAAGTCACGAGGGCAAAATCAAGTTTCCCCAAGGTCACACGGAAACCTAGGTACCCACAAAGGTAGACACTTAAATCTACTTGTTTCCCACGTAATAGCATCTTATTGAGAGAAGCCATGAGCCAATAAGGACTGGGGATCAAAGTCAAATCCCTGTAGTTGTATTAAAAGGCAGCCCACTTAAAGGTGCTGCAGACCCCAGGAAGGGAGGCAGGATTCGCTGAAGAAGCGTTACTCGTTCTCCCTCAGAGTGCCCTGCACGCCAGGGCCCTGGGCCATGCTCCCTTCTCTGCTCCTGGCACATGTCCCAAGCAGCGCATGTCGGCTCCCTGCTCGGAATCCTTTCTCTGTTGACACTCGGCTGCCCACAGACAGTCGGGCCTTCTGGTCTCCTTAGTGGCTAGGAAAATGCTCCCCAAATTCTGGGCCCGGCTCCCTGGTCCCCTGGCTCCGTCCCTCACCGGGACGACAGATGCCTTCGCGTCGTCGCTGAGGCCACCGGCGGAAGGGCCCCTGCTCCACCGACCGCACACAGCGGCCTCGACCCTCGGGCCGTGGCTAGCGATCGAGACCACCAGCGGCTGCCCACGGCCAGGGCCCGTCGGGCCACACAGCCTGCCATGTCCCGCCCGAGCGCCCGCTCGGCTGCTGACACAGGGCCCGACCCGCGGCGGGGCGGCGTCCCGCCCCCGCCCCACACTGCCCCGCGCCGAAACCCCGCCCCTTGGCCCTCGGCCCCGCCCCCCGCGGCCGCGCGGGCTCGTCCAGCTACTTCCGGCGCAGGTGAGCGGAAGTCCCAGTCTGGGATCAGCTGACCAGAGAGTGAGCTGGAAATGGCGTCTTCCTTGCTTGGGGGCGAACGATTGATTCGCGCTTTGGGCCCTGGCGGAGAACTGGAACGGGAGCAGTTGCCCCGGAAGCTGCGTGCCCAGCTTGAGGCTACTCTGGGGAAGAAACACACGAGCAGTGATGGCACCACGGGCCCCCGGCGCCTGATTCCCTTCCGTCTGATCCGAGAACTACATCAACACCTGAGAGAAAGAAGTGAGCGGACCCCAATCAAGAGTCGTCGCCTCATTTTCAGATCTAATCCCTCCTGAGGCTTTTCCCCCCATCACTCACGCGTGCCTACCAAGTTCTCATTTAGCCAGTACAAACCCCTCTTAAACCAGGTTCACCACTTCCATCTTAATTTCCGTGGGAATTCTTCGGATTTGTGCAGATTTTGTTGAGTGCCCTCTTTTAAAGTCCACCTAAGTCCACCTGACTCTTAAGGAATTAGAGATTCTAGCCCAGTACTATTTACCATTTTAAGTTTCTACATTGCGGGGGGGGCCATTTAACATAGTGAGCTTCTCCCGTGTGGGAATAGTGATTTTCCTTTCATCTGAAAGGCAAGGGCAGGGGATTTTTAATTTTTTTTTTAATGAGCTATGTATTTTTTCTTCTCTGCTTCCCTCTCTTCTTCGCTCAAGAAGGGAATTATGATCCCGCCTCAGCCCCCGTTTAGGGGTGATGGTAGGGAAATAGAATGACAAAAAAAAAAAAAACAACCAAAAACCTATATTGAAAGGTCTGAACCGAGAGTCAAATCTAGTTCTAGTCCTTTCAGAGAAGTCATTTCTCTTTGGATCCGTTTCCTGTCTGCTAAGGGAGGGATAGGGTAAACTGGCATGTAGCATGTTTTGCCAGAATTAACATATCCTGGCCAGAAGTGCAAAGAGTAGATACTCAACTATTAGGACTGAAAAGGACATTAGGGAAAGATCCTCCAATACTGTGTCCTCTGAATGTTTAGCCCCACAACGACCCAGACCTATCTAGGACAGATCTATTATTTTCACAAGACTAACCTACCATTGGCAGGGATGACTGAAGACTGATAGCTAAAGTCAACTGTGTAGCACTAGGAAATACTAAGGCAGAATTGTTCTGGACTTGTCTTGGTTGAAATTTATCTTAATTTAATAAAAAAAAATGATCATGAGGCTGGGAATGGCACATGCATGAAATCCTAGGACCTGAGGGGCTGAGGCAGGTGGCTGGGTGTGGTGATGCATTCACATGTATACACACACGTATAACACACATACATATTTATGGGGCTATATATCCTAGGGATGGGTAAGCCGGAATGGCCATGTTTTATTTGGGTAAACTTAGTCTTACAGCCTCAGCTTCATGGGTCATTATGTGGAGCCTTTTTCTTCCCAGATTCCAACCTGTACCTTCATGAACTCCTAAAAGGCAGTGAAATCTACCTCCAAGAGGTTGTGAAACCTCCTCGGGTATGTAAGGGATATATTTGTGAGAGTAAGTACATGCTGAGTTGGGTATGGATTTTATTAACCAGTTTTCAGGTTTGAGATCTTGTATTTTAATTATTTGGAATAGCTGGAATGTGGCTTTGTGGAAGAATACTGGACAAAGCCCTGAGTTCAGTTCTTAGCATCAAAAAATAAATAAATAAGATTTGGGGACCAGTGAGATAGCAAGTTGGGGCAGTTGCCACCAAACATGGGAACCTGGCTTTAGTCCTCAGGACCCACATGGTGTAGGGAGAGAGGTAACTTCTAAAGATTGTCTCTTACCTCCACACATGCACCATGGCTTGTATGTGCACATATACAAAGGATTTTTCTTTTTTCTTTTTTTTTTTTTTTTTTTTTTGGTTTTTCGAGACAGGGTTTCTCTGTGGTTTTGGGGCCTGTCCTGGAACTAGCTCTTGTAGACCAGGCTGGTCTCGAACTCACAGAGATCCACCTGCCTCTGCCTCCCGAATGCTGGGATTAAAGGCGTGTGCCACCACTGCCCGGCTGTACAAAGGATTAAACAGCAACAAAAAAAAAAATATTTGGAACCAGGCAGTCGTGGTGCATGGCTTAGATCCCAATACTCCAGAGGCAGAGACAGGCAGATCTCTTGAGTTTAAGACCAGCCTGGTCTATAGTGGGAGTTCCAGGACAGCCAGGGATACCCAGAGAAACCCTGCCTAGAAAAAAACAAAAACAACAATAACAAAATCTTTGGAATCTAAAATCAGAGAAGGAAAAATTTGTCTGACAGATGTGGAAAACTGAGATCCAGTAACCCATTTTCCAGGCAATGGAAAATGGTATGCAGTATGCAGAGGCCCCCAGCACCCTTCGCAGTACATTGCACATTGGAATCAATGATATATTTTGTATCAAGAAATATGTGGAAGAATTTCATTCTTCTCATGTGGTTGTTTTTGCTTTAGAATCCAGAGCTGGTTGCCCGACTAGAGAAGATTAAGATACAGCTAGCCAATGAGGAATATAAGCGGATCACTCGAAATGTCACTTGTCAGGTAAGGCCTACTCCTGCAGCAGAAATACCTACAGAATTTTAATTTAATTTTTATTTATTTTTTATTTAGTTTTAGTTTTTTGATACAGGGTTTCTCTGAAACAGTTCTGACTATCTTGGAACTAGCTCTTGTAGACCATGCTGGCCTCAAACTCATAGAGATCCACCTGCCTCTGCCTCCCAAGTGCTGGGATTAAAGGCATGTGCTACCACCACCCAGCCAGAGTTTTAATTTTAAAAATAACAGTAACAGAGTATAGTGGCACACACCTTTAATCAAGTACTCCTGATGCAGGGGCAGGTGGATCTCTGAGTTTGAAGCCAGCCAGAACTGTATAGTGAGACCCTGTATCAAAAAGGGAAAGAAAAACATGACAATTCAAGCTCACTTTATGTACTGTTCTAGAACTGTAAGATCTCTATGTTCTGTCAGGCGTGGTGGTGCATGTCTTTAATCCCAGCCAGGGCTGTTAACATGGAGAGGTCCTATCTTGAAAAACAAATAACAACAAAAAAAGACCTCTGTGTTCTATCTAGAGCAAACATAATCTTGAGTGTGTTCACTGAGACTCGGCTTAGATGGTAACCGATTCTTAAATATCATTGAAGTGGAGGTGAGCCTTGGCGCTCTTTCTTCATTTAAGGAAGGGGTTCTGTGGCCCCGGGCAGGCCTGGAATTCTGTATTCTCTTGTCCAGCCTCCCAAATGTTAGGGTTACAGGTATACCTATAGCGTTTTATTTTTCCTGACAAGACTCCTTTGGCATGTTCTGCTGTAAGGTAGGAAAGGAGATGGATCCTGGGAGCCTGCGTCCTCCTTTTTATCATTTAAAAGGCATCATACAAATCCAGGGAAAAGAATCCCTGGAGAGGGCAGAATTAGTCTGTTGAGAAGAAAGGGCTGAGACCAGACTGGCAAAGATAGATTTCTGAACAGAATTTCGTTCTGAAATCATCTGGGTTTTTTTTGTTGTTCTGTTTTTTTCCCAGGATGCACAGCGTGGGGGGACTCTGAGTGACCTAGGAAAACAAGGTGAGGTGCTAGGAACCCAGGCTGCTCAAGCCTCTCAGGACTGGTCCTGGCCTTCCTTCCCACTGCACACTTGGCACAAGGCTAAGATATTCAGTCTTGGTCTCTGAAGGAGAACCCAGTAGATGTGGGGGCAGCTAGGAGGCAATAGGATCTCCCTGAGAACGTTGACCTGAATGTTTCTCTGAACTGCTTTCCCAAGTGAGGTCGGTGAAGGCGCTGGTCATTACCATCTTCAACTTCATCGTCACGGTGGCAGCTGCCTTTGTCTGCACTTACCTAGGAAGCCAGTATATCTTCACAGAAATGGCCTCGGTGAGTAGGCACTGGGCAGGACAAAGTGCCCTTGTTGGGGTTAATGGGAAAGGGAGGATGTGTGTTAAAGTGCACAGGTTATCAGTTGCATCTATTTATTCAATGAACAGGGCAGTGGTTCTCATCCTTCCTAGTGCAGAGGCCTGGTAATACAGTTCTCATGTGGAGACCCCCGGCCATAACATTAGTTTCATTGCTACTTCATAACTGTGATTTTGTTGCTGTTATGAATCATAATGTAAATATTTGATACGCAACCCTGTGAAAGGGTCATATGGGGTTGTGACCCACAGATTGAGAACCACTGACTTAAGGACTGGGATAGGGAATCTCCATTCTTGTTAGAGGTGCTTGGGGCTGCAGATTTAGTTGTTAGCCTGCATCCCCTACCTGGTTCTTTCCACTGGCAGAGAGTGCTGGCTGCATTGATCGTCGCCTCGGTGGTAGGTTTGGCAGAGCTGTACATCATGGTGAGGGTGATGGAAGGCGAACTCGGGGAGCTGTAACTGGTGCTTCACATCAAAGTCTGGAAGAAGTTTGGGGAGCCCCAGACTGTCCGTTGTCCATCACTGACTCTCAGTCAATCCACGAAGCTCTGTGTACTCAGCTCCAGTTAGTTAGAGGACCAGGTCAAGTTCTTCTTTGGGGAGCCATATCTGCTGTCAGTTTCCTTGGAGAGGAATTAGAGAAGATTCAGACAGCAGTGATTCTTTAAAACTGAAAGAACTGCTCTCAATAACTGCTCCTGAATCCAGTGCTCATTTGCCTTCTGTGGTTCATTCTGAGTCTGCTGAGTCTGGGGTTTTCCCATCAGAAGAACGAATCCAGACCTTCTCCCCAAATGGGCCAGACTGCCGTGAACTGGACCAAGTGCATAAATCAGTCACTATCCTTCATCCACATATCTTGGCAGAAGGCTTGTAACTGAGAGCAGAAGACCCTAAGGAAGCAGAAGGAATGAACCTGAGAAGAACCAGTCAGAAAACAGGCATCAGATAAAAGTGGTTGATACAGGATGGTGGAGCTGGAAGCCAGGCAGCTAACTTTTTCTAGAAAAGAAAATGGGATCAGGCCATTTTCCAGAAGTCAAAACAGGCTGAAAACCAGATGATCAGCTGTGATCCTTCTGTTCAATGGAGCCAAGGGTGTCCGCATTGTCCTGTTGTCTGTGTTGTGTTGCACTTTTCAGAACGTAGATAAGTTAGAGCATCTGTGTTCAGAACTTAAGTTGGAGAAACTGTTTAAGACCCTTGAAAAATGTTATTTATCTAATAAATATTTCTTGTGTTCAGTGTGTTTTTATTTTAGATCCTATAAGAGTACAAAGCACAAAACCTCCTGTGATTCTGAGAATTGCTCAATATCTGCCCTCTCTTTTGTTTGTGACAGGGTCTTACTATGTAGCTCTGGCTGACCTCAGGCTCATGGCAATCCTCCACCTCTGCCTCCTGAGTCCTAGGATCCAGGCATGTGCCATCATGGCAGGTCTTTGAGATCTGTCTGGCCTACCAGCTTTCCTTCCTTCCTTTCTTGTGTATGTGTGGCTATATATGCATACAGGAGCCTGTGGGGATAAGAGGAGGAGCTAGAGTTCAGCTGCTGTGTGGGTGCTGGGGCTGAGACTCCATTCTCTGCAAGAGCCATGAACCACTGAGCCATCACTTTAGCCCTCTTAATTGTAGACTTGATGTGCTCAGATAGTGTGGTTTTTTCCTTAATTTTTTTTTGTAATTTATTTTACTTCCATGTGTGAATGCATGTGAGTACAGAGTTTTCATATGAGTCTCTTGTTTGTGTTACTCCGCTACCTTTTCCTGTCTCTCCTCTCTATAAATGCTGGGATCCAACTCCTTCTGTGGACTCTGCTCATCAGGCTTGTACAGCAGCTGCTTTTACCTACTGAGCCATCCCTCTGGACCATCTGGTTTTCTCTAATCTTGTCTCTTATATCCTTACTGATCAGTAGATATTCTGTCAGTTGTTTTTGCCAGTTCCTGTTAGTAGGGAGAAGTGTCAAGTGCAAGAAAATATAGGTAGACCAGGCTGGCCTTGAACTCACAGGGATCAGCCTGTGTCTGCCTCCGGAGTGCCGGGATTAAAGAAGTGAATCATTGCTGGTTCTGGTGGCGCAGGAAACAGTTTAGACAAAACAAAAACAGTTTCTGATCACCAGGGCTGCTAAAGGTTGGGTCAGAAAGCCTTACTGAAGCCTTGGGGAGGGGGAGGACGACAACACATAACACATGACTCGTGGTTCACTTCCCTGTGCTCTCTGTATGCCAGGCTGCATACATATGTATGCCTATATATCATTAAGTACCTGGATTTAAGTCGAAGCCTTCTACGTGTTAGAGGTTTGACTTCAGCAGAATCTCTTCCAACAGACTTGGACCAGCCTAGGGTATCTCACAGTAAACTTGGGGTCCTTTGTTGGAAGGAATTGTCCCCTAGATCCTGGTCCCTTCCAACAGGCCAGTACGTTTTAGTGGCATCAAGCTCTTACGAACAGTAGTTCTATAGGCCAGGCACTATGCTAGCATCTGGAGATAATAAGCCAAGATCTAGTTTATGCCTTGGTGCAATGAAGCAAGAGGCAAGCTCCAAGGATCCTTCCATCTGCACAGGCAGAGGGTGTTGGGAATTAGGTGGCCAGTTCACAACAGAGGAGAAGGAACTCTTCCAGCCCCTTCCTCTCTGCCTCATCCAAAGCGCCCAGGGTCCAGGAGGTGCTTGGTAGAGGGACAGGAAGTTGGGGCCTTACCCATTTCTCATGACTTCCTATATGGAGCAGAGGGAGCTAGCATTTATTGAGTTTTTATCACATCATCACATGAAGTTTTTACCTATATTTTCCCAGGACAGGAATGATTGCATCCTGCTTTGCAGATGTAGTCACATAGCAGAGCTAGGGTTGGAAGCCAACACAGACTGATTGCAGACTCCATGCTTTTCTCTCCAAAGCAGCTCCAGAGGTGGAGGTAACTAGAACATCCTGGAGTGCAAGCCAGCTACTGTGTCCCCAGAGCCTGTGTGAGCTCTGAGCCCTTTAATTAACCACTCTCTAATCCCAGCAGAAGCCTGGAGACTATTCCTACCCGGAGCCTGTGGCACCTGGCCCTATTTGGGGATTTGGTGGTGGGAGATAAACTTCCCAGGCAAGCAAGCCTCATCACCATTTGCAATACAACAATCCAGATTAAAGTAGGGTTTTGTTTTATTTGGAGATTAGTCGGTATTACAGATGATAGTGATACAAAAGCCCAAGGCTACCACACCCCCTCCCCAGGTCTGTCAGGTTGTCCCCACAGCCCACATCAGAGGACAGCCAATCTGATCTTTGGGGAAATTCAATCAACCTAAGACCTGGGCTTCTATTTCTGTAACTTCAATATCACTTCCTCTTCAAATCCACAATTCCGATTAATTTGTCCAGGTGACAGGAAGTCAGGCAAATGAGGCTCTGAACCATGAAAAGGTGGGTCTCCCAGCAGTCCAGCACAGGAGCAGTACCCTTCCCCGGCTCATAGATAAGGTCCTGACAGACCTACTCAGACTGGTGGCTGCCCCTTCAGAGGGAAGAGATCATCAGCTAAGATAATGGGAATGGTGGAGCCAAGCCTGGCGGTAGAGGTCGACAACATGGTCCCTTACCTTGGCGATACCTCCTGATGAGATAATGGGCATATGCCTCCAAAATGACCAGGAGAGCTAGGCTCCAGCCACTGCACGGAACCTTCAGCTAGGTTGCTGGAAGTTGGGAGTGGAGGGATGGGTCTCTGAGCTAGACTCTTAGAGAATATTCCCTGTGTAAAAAGAGGCAGGAATTCTTAATGTGCTCCACTCCAGGAGAGATAGAGTGGGCTACAAGAGCCAGAGCCAAACTCCTAAGACCTCTACAGCTAAGTTAGGAGTGATCTCTATTGGTGACAACAACTGAAGTATAGATAAGGTCAGACAGGCTGCTCAGTGAGGACTGAGGAACAATTTGCTCTAAAGAAGGGTGAACCCCTAAAACCCCACTTGGTCCCCATGGGGCTGCAGCTTTAGCCTCTGCTCGACTCTGCCCTGGACCCAAGCTGGGAGCTCCACAGGAGGTCTGTGGGCATGCTGAAACCTGCTGAACTGAACTGGTGGGGTGTAGAGGCTGGCCTGGTGTCCCAGAGTCCCAGGGTTGCTGGGGAGTGTCTGGAAGAGAAGAAGCGTTTCGAGGAAGCTTCAGCCTAGGGTTTAGGGCTCCTGGCTTTCTGTTGTTGATTCTCTTGGCTCGGCGGTTCTGGAACCACACCTGATAGGGAAAATAAAGGGATATATTTTGGCACCAGCACACTCTCCTGGGACAGAAATCTGAATATGAAGGCAGGATTCCCAGAGAAGAGAAGTGCCGTGTCAAGCCCAGAAGTTGGACTATTGCAGCTCACCTGGATCTTGGCTTCAGGCAGGTGAGTTACTTGGGCCAGGTACTCACGGGTACTGATGTCGGGATAGGGCCTAGCTGCAAAGACCCGTTCCAGCTCCAGCAACTGCCCAACACTGAAAGTGGTCCTCTTTCTCCGATGGGGACCCAACCCACTGGCACAGCCTGTGGGCCGGGATGGGAATCAAACCAGGACTCCCTAGCAAGAGCCTCTCAGCCCATCTTCAAAGCCTTGCTGAGCCTCCACAGCCCCTACTCCTTATACTCCTCACCCTTCACCATCCCTCCTTGTTACTCTCCCTCACCCTACCCACCCTTTCCCCACCAGATCACCTGGAGATGCTTCCGCTTCCACAGGACTGGCCATGGAGCTGGCACAGGGCGAGGAGTCAGAGGGCCGTGCCAGGGCTGTTGCCCACACCAGGCTCATGCCTTAGGGTTTTAAGCTGTTCGGAGTGGGTGGCTCCGCCTCCAGAGGGAAGAGGCTTAGCATTCACTCAAGGGAGGTTGAAAAGGGAAGCAAGGCAGGATTGGGGCTAATAGAGTTCTAGGTTGGACCAGAATGATACACATCCCAGCTTTCACCAAGAATCTGGTCACAGTGGCTGGAGAGATGGCTCAGCGGTTAAGAGCATTGCGTGCTCTTCCAAAGGACCCGAGTTCAATTCCCAGCAACCATATGGTGGCTCACAACCATCTGTAATGAGGTCTAGTGTCCTCTTCTAGCAGGTATATATGCAAACAGAATATTGTATCCATAATAAATAAATATTTAGAAAAAAAAAAGAATCTGGTCACACCTCCCTCCTCAAACTTCAGCCTCTGGCAGTCTCTGCTCTTGGTCCTGTACTGTGAGAAACCCTTCCCCCAAACACAGAAATCTACCTCCCCAAAGTTCCCAGGGCTTCAGCTGCCCTCTAAGATCCCCCAGTGCCCGGGTCTTGGCGCCTTCAGGGGAAATGAGTGAATTCCTGTCCCACTCTCTGAGGACTGGGCAGTGAAACTGGGTGGGATGAGGTTGTTGTTGGAGCCACTTACTGTCAGCAGGGCTAGGGAACAGTTGCCACCACCAGTTTACCCCCAGGGCTACTATAGAAACCCTTTCTGGCTCCTCAAAAGGCCAGACAGAGGCTGGGCGGTGGTGGCACATGCCTTTAATCCCAGCACTTGGGAGGCAGAAGCAGGCAAATCTCTGCATTTAAGGTCAGCCTGGTTTACAGAGTGAGTTCCAGGACTGCTAGGGCTACACAAAGAAACCTGTCTCGAAAAAGAAAAACTAAAAGGCCAGACAGGCTTCCTGAAAACCAGGATCCTGGAGCCAGGGGTTCACAAAGACTTTCACTTTTACAGCCAAGCTTTCCTCCGGTGAGGGTCCTCTGAGCTGCTTTACTATGAGAAAGGGGATGTATGCCAATGTTCTTTCTGCCCCCCACCCTATGCCCAGGGCAGAAGCCTCAGAGAAAAGCCTCCGTTAGGCAGTGTTGTGGGAGTCTATCCCTTTGTTATTTGGGAATTACATGTAATCTAGATTCACAGTGGAGAGCAAAGCTGAGTTGAATTCTACTCTCTAGCTCCTCATCTCCTCTGAGGCCCTGGTTAACTCCACCATCAAAGAAGCCTCACCTGGAGAGGGTGGCTGGGTAACTTATCACCACAGGGGCTGGAATTCATTTAACTGTGGAGCAGGATGGACTGGGGGGGGGGGCACCGAATGTGATGGATGGGGACTTGGAAGTGTAGCTCTCACAAGCCTCCAGTGTTTCTGGTTTAGGAAGAGCACCCAAGCCAAGTGGGGTCTTCTCTGTCCCTCTCAATCAGCCCTGAGAGCCCCACTGGTCCTCCTTTGTCCAGGGGACAGGGCTGCCCACTCTATTCAGGACAGTTGTCTTAAACTCGGGGCCAACAGACTTTATTGGGCTGAAAGGAAAAGGCTGAAGGATGGGTTTCCTGAGTCTCCGCTGTGTGGGCTGACTCCTACTTTTCAGGGACTGAGCAGCCCAGCCAATACTGAGCAATAGAGCGTGGGTATGGAGGGTTCACAGAATCCACGTGCCGCGTTCTAAGGTTGACTCGGTAGTACTTGTCTGAAAGAGAGAATGGAAAGAAAGTGTGTGAGTGTGAGATCCTGCCTGGTCCTGTCGCTGGAAAAAAGAAAAAAGAAAGAAAAAACAAAAACAAAACAAGGGTTTCTCTCAGAAGTGAAAGTGAACATCCACCAGGCAGATAAGGTCACCATCTACAAGTAGTGTTCAGCACTCAAGGACCAAAACATGCAGGAAAGACACATACACACACACACACACACACACACACACCCCGCAAAACCAGCTTCAGGGGTAGCAGGGACTCCCACCTCCAGAGAAGAAGTAGACGCTCTGAATGGGCTCACAGGTGGCAGGTACGAGCCAGTTCATATCATAATAATCATCATTGTAGGTTCCTAGATCGCTCTCCTCACTAGAGAACAAGGAGAACCAGGATGAAAGCGATGAACGACGGGAGTTCAGGCTGTGGCGGCTGCGGCGGCTGCGGCGGCCATGGCGAGAACGGTAGCGTTTTCGGCTGCGGCGCCTAGACTTCTTTTTTTTGGCCGGGAAGGCATGAGATGTGGAGTCTGCGATGTAGATGTGGCCGGCCATAGCAGCATCCACTTTCCCTGGCACACCATGCCAGTCCCGGCTGATGAACTGGGGTCCGCTGGTGCCTTCTGTAGCAGGGAAGGGGTTAATGAATTTTGAGGATCCAGGCTTTGATTTCTCCAGCAGGACACACACACACACATATTGAAACAAGGTTTCTCCCATGGCTGGTCTGGAACTCACTATGAAGACCAGGCTGGCCTCTTAACTCACAGAGATCTGCCTGCCTCTGCCTCCCAAGTGCTGGGATTAAGACTTGTGCTACTACAGCTAGCTCCAGCAGGCCCTATAGAGTTCATCTACTGTATCCTGCCCAAGATACACAAGGTCATGCTAGAACTCAGTACCCCTATCCAGTGCTTTTTCCTGTGTCCTCTCTCCATTGTATCCCTTGCGTCTCTGCCCCCTCCCAAACCCCTTATCCTCTGGCCCCTCCTTCTGCTGTGTTAGGCAAAGTTCAAGGTATGGGGTCCAAATGGAGCCAAGCCTCACCCCCAAAAGTCAACAGAAGCAAAGTCTAGCCAGAGCAAACAACTTTTGATCAATGGTGCCACAATTCCAGTCTCCTCCCCCCTTAGCCCCCCACCACCATAGTCCAGCCCTGCTCCAAACCCACTTTCTGGAGAAAGAAGCCAGACTTGCTCTCCCTCCATACCTGAGGAACTGTCCCAGAAGAGGAGCTCAAAGATGTTGTCCCAACGGCCTCGGTGAAGCAAGGCAAAGCGCTCAAACACGGTTGACAGAGAGCTGCCTTCACAGTCCTCTTGGCTGGGCTGCTGTTGGAATTCATACTCCCAGTACTGCTTCCCTGAGGAGCAGGACAGCTGGCATCAGAAGGGCTGGGGAGCTCTGAGGCAGGGTAGGAGCATACCCCCAAAGCCCTGACTCAGGGAAGTGTAGAAGAGAACAGGGACTCCTTCACTCCCTGCCCCTGCACCTCCCACCCTGAGTACCCTTAAAGAAGTAGGCTCTCTCCCGGCCACTGTAGCGGTGGGCAGGAAGGGCTAAAGCGGCATCGATATTGTCTGGTATGCCAATGAAGCCTTCAGAGATGTTCCGGGGATAGTCAGGGTCCAAAACACCATCTTCGAAGCGCCAGTACTGACTTCCCTGAGAGGCAGGCAAGATGGAAAGGTGAGGACCTACTGCCGGGCAAAGAGGCAGTCCTAGATCCTGAACGGGCTCTCAGCAGCTCCTGAAACCCCTGTCAACCTTGATACTCTTTACCTTGACTCATAGGCTTGGGTCTGGTACCTTGAAAAAGTAGGTCTTCCCCTGACAGTTGATGCGAGTGAAGGCAGCATCAATGGGACCCTCGATGCCCCAGACATCTCGAATGAGTTTGGGGTACCCAGGCTTCACCGCCGTTTCATCTAGCTCATAGCAGTACTGCCCTAGAATAGGGGAAGCTGTGTGAGAAACAGATGTTCCTAGGGCAGACCCCACCACCACCAGACTTGTCCATTGAGGCACCTCGGAAGGCAAAGATGGAACCGTTCTTGAGGTCCGTGAAGGCGTCAAAGGGCTTCCCATTACACAACTCTTCCTCTGGGAAGTCAGAGGTCCCTTGATCAGTGGTGTCAGGCCTTTCCTGGTACCCCACTTCAGGTTCTGGGATGCCTGCCTGCGGTTTGGGAGCCTGTTCCTCGGGCTTCAGGAAAGCTGTTGGCTTTGAAGTGCTTTCAGTTTGGGGCTGCGGAGAAACGCTTTCTGGTTGCACAGGGGAGCTGGTGCCGTTCCCGGTCCCCTCTGAATACTCGTAGTTCCAGTACTCATCTTCCGGCATAGTGAACACATCCCCCCGAGTCACTGCAGGCAGAGAGGGCAGCAGTGAGCTTCCAGGAGCACAGGGGACCCCCACGCCCACCCACAGGGCTCTGAACAAACCTTGGGGCTTGCACTGCTCCATATAGTCAGCACAGCAGCTCTGATAGTAACTGCAAAGCTCGTCACACTGACACTTCCTGGAGGCCACAAACCCCTGCGCACAGCGGCCCTTGCATGACTCTGAGGGAGGGAATGCCAGTCTTTACAGCCCAGGCCAGGCAACCTGCCCACCCTGCACTGCCCTAGATGCCCACCAGTCACCCCCATACCTTGGTCAGCTAGAGAAATCCACGCCAGCAGGGCTAGTATGAGGAAGGGCCTCAGAGGTGCCATGGCAGGCCTCTAGCAGAGGGCCTGGCAAGCTGGCCTCAGAGCTTCCGGAGCCTCGACCGTCCTGCCTGGAAAAGGAATCAAACTGAAGAGAAGTTGCTATTTCACTGGGTTTCTGCTTCTGTTTGCTCATCCTCTGGCCCAGCCCTAGTCCCCTCCTCCAAACACAGCTGCAACAAAGGGTCACATTCCCAGAACCCTACCCCTAGGAGCGCTGGGAAATAGAACCCTCGCCAAGACCAGAGTCAGGAGGGTCATGGGCAGCTGGGATAGCATGGTGGGTTGGGAAGGCAGAAAGAGAGCAGGTGTTGTCCCCCTGTGAGCCGGTTACATCCATCTCTCCAAGTCTTGCTTTTCATAAAATGGGACCATGGCGCCTGGCCTCATCAACAGCAAATACACAGTTAATGATTTATTGTTTGATTAGGGCCATCCCCAACTAGATGTTTGTCCCATCCTACCCCCACTTCCCAGTTGAATATTTGGGGCAGTGGAGAGGAGAGGGGTGGGAGGAGAGCTGCTAAGCGCCCTGGGGGAGGTTTCTCTTCTTATCATAAAAGAACAAAGCTTCATTTCTTGCTTCTCCTTGTGGAAGCATAGTTCTCTCAGCTGGGCTCCACAGCACAGGAAGCAGTGGCCCTAATGCTTTGGGTCACAACCCACTCCTTTCTTCTCTTTCCTTCTTTTTTTTAATTTTATTTTTAATTTTATTTTTTATTTTTCGAGACAGGGTTTCTCTGTGTAACAACAGTCTTGGCTATCTTAGAACTTGCTCTGTAGACCAGGCTGGCCATGAACTCACTAAGATCCACCTGCCTCTGCCTCCCAAGTGCTGGAATTAAAGGCATGTGCCACTACCACCCAGCCTCCTTTCTTTACCTTTAGATTTATGTATTTTACTTTGTGTGTGTGTGCACCTCACACATGCCTGGTGTCTGTGGAGGTCAGAAAAGGACTTTGGACACCCTGGAACTGGAGTTTTGAACAGTTGTGTGCTGCCGTGAGCACTGGGAATTAAATCAGGATCCTCTGCTAGAATGAGTGCTCTCTCTCTCTCTCTCTCTCTCTCTCTTTAAGATTTATTTATTTATTGTGTATACAATGTTCCTCCTGCATATACACCTCCATGCCAGAAGAGGGCACCAGATCTCATTACAGATGGTTGTGAGCCACCATGTGGCTGCTGGGAATTGAACTCAGGACCTCTGGAAGAGCTGCCTGTGCTCTTAACCTCTGAGCCATCTCTCCAGCCTCCTAAAGATAAAGGTTTTTGTTGTTTGTTTGTTTGTTTGTTTGTTTGTTTGTTTGAGACAGGGTTTCTCTGTAACTTTGGAGCCTGTCCTGGAACCAGACTGACCTCGAACTCACAGAGATCTGCCTGTCTCTGCTTCCCGAATGCTGGGATTAAGGGCATGCACCACCACCGCATGTGCCACCACCGCCCAGCTAAGAATGGGTGCTCTTAAGGACAAAACCATTTCTCCACTCCCAGAGCCCATTCATGAGGCTCCCACTAATCCACTGGTCCTCAGTGGACGAGCCCTGAACACACCTTCAGTGATCCCGTCTATAAAGACTCGTTGAGCATACTTTTATACTCACATAGAAAGTGTGATCCCTCTATGATGAAAATGCTCATTGGTACAGAACACCAGGTCTTGAATCAAATCCCAAGCACCAGTATGCTTCTGAAGCCCCTAAGTTCTCTGTTCTGAAATCACAGGGGAGTGTGCCCAAAGGCACACTTCTTCTCTGTGGGTCTCAGTAGTCTCAGCAGCAAAATAAACAAAATAAAGCACTAAATCTTACTCTCTATAGACACATGAAGCCTAAGTGGAAACAGGAATTAAAGGACCTTAAGAATCTCAACTGAGGGGCCACTGGCAGTGGCACCAGGATTTATCCCTACTGCTTGTACTGGCTTTTTGGGAATCTATTCTATTTGGATGTATACCTTGCTCATCCTAGATATAGTAGGGAGGGCCTTGGACCTTCCCCAAAGCAATGTGCCTTACCCTCTTTGTGTAGTGGATGGGGTGGGGTGGGAGGTAAGTGGAGGGAAGGGAGGAGGAGAGGGAGTGGGAACTTGGATTGGTATGTATAATGAAAAAAGACAGTGTTTTTTTTTTTAAAAAATAACAAATTAAAAAAAGAAAAGAAAAATTCAACTGCACCCTGTCGTCTAGAAAAACAAAAACAAACAAAAAAGGAGGGGGGAAGAACCTCAGCAGCGATTCTTTAACCATCCGAAGGGCTGTGGGTACATTCAGCCTGTTCGCTTCCACATCATCCGGGGCAGGGCCAGCGATGGGGAGCGACGACTGCTCTTTCCAGCCCTTTCCATAGTCTGGCGCACCTCGAAGGAGGCGGGGCCAAGTGATGCCTGGGGTGGGGCTTGCGCCGACGGTAAAGTCGAGCTTGCGAGACCAAGAGGCGGGGCGTCAAATCTTTGACTCGGCTACTCAGAGGCGTGGTTGCTGTTGAGCATCTCAGCATCATCGAGCAAGAGGCTGGAGCCGTGCTTTGTTCTGGGCACTGGCGCCTCTCTTCCCCCGTCGGTTCCATTCTTTGCTTTCCTCTCCCCGCATCCCCTTCCCCAGAAGCTGCGGCTGAGCGCCCTTGCCAGGTTCTGGTTTTTGCTTTTTCCTCCCAAGGCGGGGGGTCTCTCCACCAGGCCCCGCCCCTCCAGGCCCGGCATGTCCCCTGCTGCCCCGCGCCCATGGTCCTGACGCTGCTCTTCTCCGCCTACAAACTGTGCCGCTTCTTCGCCATGTCGAGCCTACGGTCGGGCGCCGATCGGTTGACAGTGCCAGGGCAGGATAGGAATGGAAGCGCCAGCCCGTGGTGGGCCGCGGGCCGCGGATCCCGCGAAGTGTCGCCTGGGGTTGGCACCGAGGTGCAAGGCGCCCTGGAGCGTTCTCTGCCGGAGCTGCAGCAGGCGCTGTCCGAGCTGAAGCAGGCAAGCGCGGCGCGGGCGGTGGGCGCGGGCCTCGCCGAGGTCTTCCAGCTAGTAGAGGAGGCCTGGCTGCTGCCGGCCGTGGGTCGCGAGGTGGCCCAGGGTCTGTGCGATGCGATACGCCTGGACGGTGGCCTCGACTTGCTGTTGCGGTTGCTGCAGGCACCGGAGCTAGAGACCCGCGTGCAGGCCGCGCGCCTGCTGGAGCAGATCCTGGTGGCTGAGAACCGGTGAGGGAGAGCGCCGTGAGGTGTGGGGAGGCCAGGGCAGAGGAGGTGGTTGGAGCTGGCATCCCATTGCTGATAGCCGCTTGAGCCCACAGTTCTCCCCTGCATCTGGGTGCCCTTCTGTGCTACCTTTCACCAGGCCAGCCATGACCTCATTCTGCAGTGTCTGATCAGGAACAAAAAGTTTTTTGCTGGATTGAGAGGGTGGGGGCAGAGAAAACTGAGACACATTCCCTTCCTCTGTATGTGGGAACAGACTAAGCCTGGCTGGCTGTCCTTCACCTACCTCTTGGGACCTTCTCTGAATTATGAAGCACTCAGAGAGCTCACTTTCCCAATCCTCTGGTGCCAGAGCAAAACGGGTTGTCGCATTCCTAATTCTCGCCCAAACCTCAGACTCTTAGCTCAGAAATTTTAGAAAAGTCACTTTCAGCACGCTGCCCTCACAAGTACCAGGGAAATGAGCGAGGGGCGTTTTGAACTACGCGGAAAGACTACAACTGTCAAAAATGTACACACAGAACAGTTTAGGTTGGGAGACCCAAGGTAAAATGCTGCTTGCCTTACCTCTCTCATCTAACACCTGGTGGCCTATAATGGGCTTGGGCCATGAATATAGAACCCGAAAATAGAGTGGATGCTTGCTGAATGTGTTGGGGCCCAGTTTGACTGGTGAGGGCTTGGTATGTGGGTTAAGAAGCTAGAACGAGTACCTGTGGAAAGTGGGTACAGGGAGCACCCTAGGAGAAGCAGGACTGCATGATGCAAACATACTGGTATATTTTCAACAATGACAATGACTGTTCTCACTCACCGAGAGCTCTGAGAGAGTAACCACTAGGGACCAGTCCCCAAACACAGGGGGTGTTGCTTCAGGACCAAGGACAGGGCACAAGTCCTAGCCTTCATGCTCTTGCCCCAGAAACCCGGGGGGCTCTGCGATCTTGCTGAGTGTGCAGGGATAAGACTGGAAGGGGAAGAGGGAGGAGCACACTGAGGGTTTACATTGTGAAGATTCCCCTCCTCCATCAATCGGCCTCCTCACCGATTCTTTTTGCCATTCTACTCTGGCAGCTTTAGTCTTCCCCAGGATGTTGCTGCAGTCACTTCCCAGAATCCTAAATGACTTTCTCTCACCTCTGAACTGCCAATAGTGCAGGGCTCTTCAGACCTGGTACCATGACCCCCAGTGAGGACGCCATCTAACAGTTCTGTAAGTTGTAGGCCCCCTCACCAGGGGAGCAGAATGAATCTAAAGGACATACCCTCAGGGAAGCTAAATGGCCTCCCCCAGAATACTGAGTAATAGAGGAGACTGTTTCTTAATATAAGGAAAGAACAATATTGCACATAAATTCAAAAAATGCAAAAGTGTGCAAAAAAGGTATAACGCTGAAAATTCTCAATGAAGCCTCCTCTAAGGAGGAAAACCACTGGACTAATTTTTTGTATATCCTTCCAGAGAGGTGTGGAGCATACACGAACATTTGCTCACAGTCACATATAAGCAACTGTCCCCTACTTGGCAGCTGGAATTTGAAACTAGAGCTGCGTACCTCCAAAGATTATGGCCATTTCATCAGACCCACAGTCTCAGACAGCAGAATTGGGAAGGGAATTAACAGTTTTCACAACCAACACACAGCTTTAACTTCAGGACTGTGTCTGGCTAAGACTTAGGGGTCAGAATAAAGTTCCAGATGTGAACTGATGTTCCCAAATACGCCTTTACTTCACAGGGTCTTCGGTGAGTCCTCTGAAAATATGAGTGTTAGATGAGATGGCTTCTTCTTTCAATTTTCCTTTTTTTGTGTATGAATGTTTTGCTTGCATGCATATCTGAGTACCATGTGTGTGCAGTACACACAGAGATCAGAAGAGGATATTAGATACCCTGGGCCTGGAGTTATAGAGGATTGTGAGCCACTATTTGGATTCTGGAAATTGAAACCAAGTACTCTAGAAGGCCAGCCATTGCTCTTACCTGTTGAGCCAACTCCCCAGTCCTGAGATGACTTCTTAGGCACGTCTAGCCCCGATAGCCTAAGAGTTGACCTAGTCCAAAGTGAAGGTGAAGGATCTTGAACTCCCGAGACAAAGAGACTGACCTCGGGTTTGGCATGACCTCTCTCTGACCTTAGATTTCCTCGCTGGTGAAAGGAGTGCCTGAGTTCCTATTCCAGGATGGATAGTTAGGACCATTTGTTCCTTTGGGGGTGGGCTGTAGAGAGGCGGAGTAATGAGGTCAGGAAAGCTTTGCTGAACTTACGGCATGTCCAGGACTTAGCCAGGCCACACAAGTGTGCCATGCCCTGTACACTGCGCACTATGATCACTGTGGCATCCACAGAGCAAGAATTCTGTTGTTCACTAAGTCTTTGGAAGTCATCTGACTAGGGGACATCGTCTATGGAGGTAGGTGTGGCAGGAAGCCTTCATCTCTGCCTGGAAAGGAGAGTGGCAGCTTGCTTACTCTTCTAGCGGCCTTCGGGATCTGCCTGGGGCTAACCTTCCCTGCAGCAGCCAGTTCCTTAAAGCCCAGACACAAACTAGACATCCCTTCCCTGAAGCTCTTCAGCAGCTTCCTGTTTAAAGTACGAAGGCCTTGAGGAAGCTGAAGAGACTGTCAGGGCTGATTTCTTCCCCTCTCTTTCTTTGGGCCCTCTGCTTTAGCATGTGGGAGCATGGTTAGCTCCCCAGGGGGTACCAGCTCTCATCCAAAAGTTGCAAGCCTGTGCCTGCACCCATCTGCAATGCAAGATCCCCTTCTCCCAGCTCACATCCCAACCATCCTCCTGACCTAATCCCTAAGCAACCATTGAACATATTTCATGTAGCTGGTGAGTTCTTTTCTTCTCTTTTGTGATGCTAGGATCTGGAGTCAGGACCCTGAACACGTTAAACAAGCACTTTGCTGTTGAGCTACATTCCCAGCCTGCCTGTCTGTCTGCCTGCCTGCCCAACTTTCTGTTTGTTTGACATAGGGTCTAACTAAATTATATAAGCTTATCTCAAACTCACTATCTAGTTGAGTTTCAATTCTCAACTTCTTTTTTGTTTGTTTGTTTGGTTGGTTTTCTGTGACAGGGTTTCTCTGTGTAACAGTCCTGACTTTCTCAGACTCACTTTGTAGACTCATTCTGTAGAACTCACAGAGATCTGCCTGCCTCTGTCTCCCAAGTGCTGGAAATAAAGGTGTGTGTCACCATGCCCAGCTTAATTCTCAACTTTGGAGTAGCTGAGATTAGAGATGTGTGCTGCTGTGCCAACCCTGGTAAAACCTCCAGGCTTGTTCTGAGTGCAGGCATTTTTAACTTACACAAATGTCGCGGTGGTATATAGTGCATTATGTTTCCTTTTCCAGCTCCATGTTAGGGTCATAAGACCCTTCATGTTACATACCAGATGTACTGGGACACACCTTTAATCCCAGCACTCAGGAGGCAGAGGCAGGTGGATCTCTGTGAGTTGAGGCCAGCCTGGTCTGCCTAGTGAGTTCTAGGATGGCCAAAGCTACATAGTGAGACCCTGTCTGGAAAAAAAAAACAAAAAACAATAATCATGAAAAAGATTTTTCATGTTACAATGCTACAAATCTTCTCAGTCATTTATTACAATGGATGAGCACCTGTCCAGTTACTTCTGGGCTTGGTATTGATGGCTCTAACTTCCTCGCTTCACAAATAGCACCGTGTCAAGCATCTTGACACCTGTGCCCTCAGTTGGACTCTTTTTAGGAGAGTTTGCCTGCTCTCCAGATTAACCTGCCCAGCTGGCACCCCTCCCACAGTGCTCAGGACCTTTGCAACCCTCCTGCCCTCTGTGTTTGCCCACTTGCCAGGCAATTGTTACTCCTCTGACTACCCAGAAGACTGTGGTGTCTCTTGGTTGCAGTGTCTCTTTATGCTCGCCGTATTTTGAATTTTCTCCTTCACATATTGTCTAAGACTCTGCTCATTTTTCTATTGAATTCACTACATTTTGTTGGTTTGAATATTTATTTACACACTCTGTGCATAAGTAAACGCTTTATTGTTTTTCTCTTTTTCCTGACTGATGTTAGACACTGTTTATCCCTGGCCTTCCTTCTCTTCCTCAGACATGCTAGCTCATCCATGGCGGGGCCTTTGTCCTGGCTCGTTCCACCCCATCCCCCATTAGGCTCTTCTCTGAGTCGTTTGCAGGCAGGCTTCTCAATATTATTTCCCTCATAAAATCTCCTTAGACACATCCCGCCTCCATGACATCATCCAGTTTGCTAGCATGGTGCCTTACTAACTCAGAACTTGAGTTCTTATTGGTTACTTGTCCACCCCTGGCCTTGTTGGCTGAATAAGATGTAGCCAGGCTTACTCACTGCTTAGCATCAGCCTCTAGAGTGTCAAGTCGGGAGCATGGGAAGTCCTCAAACAATATCGACCGAGTGAATGAATTAGCACACACCAGTCATGGACTGAAGGGAGGAATCATTCAAGGACAGGCTTAAGAGTGATGTACTTCCACTGACACCTCAAATGACGGGTTCACGTTTATTGTGTTTTACGAATGATCTTTTTAAGAATTTATTTTATTTTTTTTTATTGTGTCTCTGTGCTTGTGTGTGCATGTGTGTGCAGGTGCACTCCAAGACCAGGAGAAAGCAAAGGTTCCCCAGAACTGGAGTTATAGGCACTTGTGAGAACTGAACTCTGGGCCCCTCTGCAAGAGCATCAAGCAGTCAACGGCTGAGCCATCTCTCCATCCTCTTTATGGATTATCTTGTTAGTCCTGATAATATTTTTATAAGATAGGTATTATTTTTCTGTTCGTAAGGTGAGGAAACTGAAGTTGACAAATGAGGTGTTGGCAATTAGAAAGCAGCAAAGAAGAACCCGGGGGGCCCAGGGATCGGGCGTAGAGTTGGAGGCATTCAGCCAGCTAAAGAGGACAAGGATGCTGCCTGCGGTGTCTTTTCAGACACTAGTGAGGCCCAGAGATCAGGCCAGGCCTCCGTGAGAAAGCCAAGCTCCGGAGACTGCAGCCACATCACGTTCTCTTTCTCCTGTCGCCCGGCAGGGACCGTGTGGCGCGGATAGGCCTGGGCGTGATTTTGAACCTGGCAAAGGAACGTGAACCGGTGGAGCTGGCACGGAGCGTGGCGGGCATCTTGGAGCACATGTTCAAGCACTCGGAGGAGACGTGTCAGCGGCTGGTGGCGGCCGGCGGTCTGGACGCAGTGCTGTACTGGTGCCGCCGCACCGACCCAGCGCTATTGCGCCACTGCGCCCTGGCGCTGGCGAATTGCGCGCTGCACGGGGGCCAGGCGGTGCAGAGATGCATGGTGGAGAAGCGCGCTGCCGAGTGGCTCTTCCCTCTTGCCTTCTCCAAGGAGGACGAGCTGCTGCGGCTGCATGCCTGCCTGGCGGTGGCGGTGTTGGCTACCAACAAGGAGGTGGAGCGCGAGGTCGAGCACTCTGGCACGCTAGCGCTCGTCGAGCCGCTCGTGGCATCGCTGGACCCTGGCCGCTTTGCCCGCTGCCTGGTGGACGCCAGTGACACAAGGCAGGGTCGCGGACCGGACGACCTACAAAGCCTGGTGCTGCTGCTCGATTCGTCGCGTTTGGAGGCTCAGTGCATCGGGGCTTTCTATCTGTGTGCTGAGGCTGCCATCAAGAGCCTACAGGGCAAGACCAAGGTACTGATGTAGAGGAGGTGGCTCAAGGGTTAGAGAGAGTCTGGGAAGGTTTCTCAGAGGAAGTGATTTGCAACTGGGGTTTGGGTACTGGTAAGAATGAAGGGTCGCATAGACAGCGACATGGAACATGTCTGCAGAGTCAGATAGGTCTCTGTGACTTTGAGGCTAGCCTGGCCTACATATTGAGTTTCAGGTAGGGCTTAAAAAGAAAAAGTATAAGGACTTAGATGAAGCAATCAGAAGGTAGAGGGACCAGTCATTTGGGCCTTGAAGACAAGGCTCAACGTTGAACTTGGTCTTTGGGGCCAGAGAAGGTACTGAGAAGTTTTAAAATAGGAGACCCTCGATTTTTACAAAAATCAACCTGGCTGCTGTAGAAGTGGGGGTGACAAGGGTAGCTCGAGGCTGTTGTGAGTGCTGGGAAGGCAAACAGAGAAAGTGGAGGAAGGAAGGAATGTGGACTATCGCAGAGAGAAGCAGACAGATTAGGGATTTATGCTTGGGAAGGGGCGAGGGGACTGATGGTGCTTCTTGGCCAAGAACATGAGGCGGTAAACTGGGTGGAGATCACAGGGGAAGAGGGGAAGACCCGTGGGCACTACTGAGCCCGGGGTGCCCAGCAGAGGTTGAGTTGGCAGCTAAGCCACCTGCATCTAGAGTCTGGGAAAGAGATGGCCCCCGGAGAAAGAGGACCTCGATGTAAATGGCGGTCTCCTGAGTCACAAAGGGTCCCTATGGCCAAGATTTAAACCACAGCCTTTGCCTGCTTCCCGACTTACCGTGACCTTGGGCAGCTAGCTTTCCCCCTCTGGAACACGTTTTGGCTTTTTTTTTAAAAATATTTATTTATTTATTATGTATACAATATTCTGTCTGTGTGTATCTCTGCAGGCCAGAAGAGGGCACCAGACCTCATTACAGATGGTTGTGAGCCACCATGTGGTTGCTGGGAATTGAACTCAGGACCTTTTGGAAGGGCAGGCAATGCTCTTAACCACTGAGCCATCTCTCCAGCCCACACGTTTTGGCTTTTTGTAAAATTGAAGGAGTCACTGGAATGCATGGAGGAGTCTCTGATCTGTCTGTATTCCTATGATTTAGTGGGGTTCCAATCAAGCTAGAAAAAAACTAAGGGTTTAGGAACACTTCTGATGTGGGAGTTGGGAGTATGGGATTTAGGGTCTGCTGCCACCTAGCGTCCATATTGAGGCTTTATTCCAGGGCGCATGGGCGTGGAAGTTGGAGCTCATAATCAAGAGCGGATGCGTTTCAGGAGGGAAATTGCATGGGGGACGGAGGAGAAAGGACTACACGCGTGACTTAGTAATCAAGGCTAGGACAGTTTGTGGGCCTTTCCTCAGAAGAGAGATGGGACTGGGCACGTCTGGTGGCAGCTGGGGGGCTGAGAACCTTATGCTCCCTCATTCGTCCTCCTTCCTAAGGTGTTCAGCGACATCGGTGCCATCCAGAGCTTGAAACGCGTAGTTTCTTACTCCACTAATGGCACCACGTCGGCGCTGGCGAAGCGCGCGCTGCGCCTGTTGGGCGAGGAGGTACCCCGGCGCATCCTGCCCTGCGTGGCCAGCTGGAAGGAGGCCGAAGTCCAGACCTGGCTGCAACAGATCGGCTTCTCCCAGTACTGCGAGAACTTTCGGGTAGAGCCGCGGGCAGTCATCTCCCCCTACACCAAGTGGGCGCATTCCTGACGGGCGTGCGGCTGCTGGGGGCGTCCTGAGCACAGGCGTCCGCGTGCCCTGTAGGCCTCACGCCAGCAGCGCCACCGCGGCCTTTTAGGGGTGGGAAACCCTCAGTTAGCCACCCTCAGAGTCCCATCGGCTTCCACCGCCACCTCCTGTTCCTTTCCCTTGCATCTTGCGCTGTGGGGCGGAGGGAGGAGGAGAGCCTTCCTTACCTCTCCCCCTCCCCCAGGATCAGCAGGTAGATGGTGACCTGCTTCTGCGGCTTTCAGAGGAAGAACTCCAGACAGACCTGGGCATGAAATCGAGCATTACCCGCAAGAGGCAAGGAGCCCCCAGTCAGTCCAACCCAGTCTCCCCCTCTGCCACCAGCCCATACTTAGCATCCTTAGCATCAAAACTGTAACATCGTTTTTTACCTGCTGAGCAGGTTCTTTAGGGAGCTCACGGAGCTCAAGACCTTTGCCAGCTATGCTACATGCGACCGCAGCAACCTAGCAGACTGGCTAGGCAGCCTGGACCCTCGCTTCCGCCAGTACACCTACGGCCTTGTCAGCTGTGGCCTGGATCGCTCCCTGTTGCACCGCGTGTCAGAGCAGCAGCTCCTGGAGGACTGTGGCATCCGCTTGGGGGTGCATCGCTCACGTATCCTCTCTGCAGCCCGAGGTAAGCGCGCCCACCTGGGAACCCCACCCAACTCCAGCTCCAATCCTGAAAGGGAGGGGCGGCCCCGGCTGGAGAATCTGCCTCCCTGAGGTGTGAGCATCTGACTGGGTTAGACTGACTTTGAGGATGAAAAGATGAGCATGTGGCCTTTTGCCCTTAAGAAGTCCTCCACCTGAGATGGGTACCAGGGAGGGAGATAGGAGGTATACAATCAGCAGGTGGCCGTGGTAGGAAGTATTCCCAGGACTCCTGTGGGAGCTCAGAGGAATCACTGCCTGTCTTGGTCACCCAAGTTCAGACTTGGAGAGGAGGAGGTGTTGTCCAGGTTTTGAGGGATGGGGGGGGGGCAGGGAGAACAGGAAGGGCAACAGGCAAGAATAAGAACAGGTAGGGCAGTACGTGGGTGCCACTGAAGGGCACTGGTGGTTTGGGGAGGAGATGTGAGAGTTGGAGGAAAGCTTGCCCTAGTATCCGGCAGCTTACACAGCCTGGGTTCTGGCAGTACGTCCCAGCAGAGCCTAGGGTACTGGCAGTCTCCTTTTCTCACTGGCTTCTTTCATTGGACAGTTGCTCTTTGGCTAGCTCTTACATGTCCATAACTGTGTATTCCAGGTATCACAGTTTTTTTAAGACTGATTTTTACTTTGTATATGAGAGTTTGAGTGTGTATGTGTGTGTACCTCATGAGCTTCTGGTGCCCATAGCAACCAGAAGAGGGGGCTGGAGAGATGACTCAGAGGTTAAGAGCACTTGTCTGCTCTTCCAGAGATCATGAGTTCAATTCCCAGCAACCACATGGTGGCTCACAACCATCTATAATGGGATCTGGCGCCCTCTTCTGGCCTGCAGACACACATGCAAACAGAATACTGTACACATAATAAATAAAATCTTTAAAAAAAAAAAAGCAGACTAGAGCATCAGAGCCCCTATGACTGGAGTTACAAATGGTTGTGAGCCACCTTGTAATGCCAGAGACTGGACCTGGGTCCTCTCGAAGACCTGCAAGTGCTCTTAACTTCTGAGTCATCTCTCCAGCTCTCGTAGTAAGTTTTTAATGTATAATCTCATAACTGAGTGTGGAATTATGCACATGTAACCCCAGCACTTGGGAGGCAGAGGCAAGAGGATTACTGAAAGTTCAAGACCAGCTTGGTCTACACATGGAGTCCAGGGCCATCCAAGGCCGCGTGAGGCAATCCTGTCTCAAAGAACAAACAGATCAAAAGATAACCCGCTTATTTCTATAACCATTCTATCTAGTAGGAGTTCAGTATTTTAAATCAACTTTTAAAAAACTTTTAAAGAGCAATAAGAGGTAAGGTGGCTCCGTGGGCAAAGGTTCTTGTGGCTAAGCCTTTTGCCCTGAGATCAATCTCCATGACTCACACTGTCGGAGAGGATACACTCCCCCAAGTTGCCCTCTGGCCTCCACAGGCTCCGTGGCACCCCACCCCATGAATATATAAATGTAAGAAAACATTTTTTTTTGAAAGAGACCTGAACTTGAAAAATAAACATACCAGCGTCCAGCTTGAGGTATTTTGAAAAGTGTGCCCTGTGCAATCAAATGTTTCTATCATAGGCTTTCGTTTTAGAGATAATAAAATGAAAATAAAAGAATTTAAAAACATTTCCCAAGATTATAAAAGCCATTAAATGACTGGGATCTGAGCCCACTGTTTGATTTTTCTTTCTGCATCATAAGCAGACAAATGTGTGTGGTGTTAATTATGAATATTATTAGAAAATGAGTCCATTTCATTTATCCTTCTGTTCAACAAGAACTGCTAGAGCATCGACATGGCGCTGGGGACTGTCTCCTCTGCCTCAAGAAGGTCAGCTTTTATCTTTTAGCTCCCAACGAAACTCCACGATTTCTTTTGTTGCTGTTGCTTGTTTGTTTTGCTTTGTTTCATTTTTTTGAGACAGAATCTCTCTACGGAGCCTCAGAACAGACTGGCCCTGAACTTCCCACATGCTGTGCCAGGGTTGCAGGTGTGAACCACCATGCACGGTTTATATTTTTCATGTTTTATTGCTTTGGTGTGTGTGTGGTATTGCAGTCAAGCCAATGGCCTTGCACTTGAGAAGCACGTGTTTCTCTTCTGAGCCACATTCCCTGGCCATGCATGGTTTCTTAACTTATTACACTTGTGCGTGTGTCTGTCAGTATTGGGGGGCAAGCATGCCATAGCACCCGTGTGGACGTTCAAAGTCAGTTTTGGTCACTTGGTTCTCTCCTGGCCACCGGAGTTCCCGGATTTGGACTCAGGTTGGCAGACTTGATGGCAAGTGTTTTTACCGCTGAGCCATCTTCCTGGCCCATGCAGTTTTTTGTTTTGGTTTTGGTTTTCTCATAGGGGCAATGACCTACTCAGAGGGCAATTTTAGGGAGATCTCTCTGGTGATATGGCATGTGGAATGGGATGGTTAATCCTAAATGGCTTGGGGAGCTATCTTAGTTAGGGTTTCTTTCTTTTTTTTAATATTTATTTATTTATTATGTATACAATGTTCTGTCTGTGTGTATGTCTGCAGACCAGAAGAGGGCACCAGACCTCATTACAGATGGTTGTCAGCCACCATGTGGTTGCTAGGAATTGAACTCAGGACCTTTGGAAGAGCAGGCAATGCTCTTAACCACTGAGCCATCTCTCCAGCCCTTAGTTAGGGTTTCTATTGCTGAGAGATGCCATGACACAGCAACTCCCTTCGGAGCATTGGAGTGGCTAGTTTACAGTTCAGAGGTTCAGTCTATTGTCACCATGGTGGGAAACATGGCGGCATGCAGGCAGACCTGGTGCTGGCTACAACTTGATCAGAAAGGGGGCTGAGATATGGGCAGTATCTTGAACACAAGCGATGGCAAAACCTGTCTCCATAGTGACACACTTCCTCCAACAAGGCCACCCTTACTCCAACAAAGCCACACCTCCTTATAGTGCCTCTCCCTATGAGATTACGGGGCCACTTGCAGGAGCCCATTGAGGAGGCTGGTGCTGGACATCTGCAGCAGGGAGTCCCAGATGTTGAGTAAACCGAAGGGAGACTCCACACAGTAAGAAGCCTGTGCTGACTACCGCACAGCAGTGCCACGAGGGTGGAGTTTGCTCTGTTTCGTTTCCTGCTGTATTCCTAGCACTGAGGCTGACAGCCAGCATCCTGTACAAGCTTAGTGAATTAGATGATCCTGGCTGGGAGCAATGTGACTCTCTCTCCTGCTCTCGTGTGTGTCAGTGTGTATGTGTGTCAGTGTGTGTCAGTGTGTGTGTATGCGTGTGTTAGTGTGTGTCAGTGTGTATGTGTGTGTCAGTGTGTGTGTATGTGTGTATTAGTGTGTCAGTGTGTGTCAGTGTGTGTGTTTGTGTGTGTTAGTGTGTGTCAGTGTGTATGTGTGTGTCAGTGTGTATGTGTGTGTCAGTGTGTATGTGATCAGACAGGGTCTCATGTAGTTCAGTCTGGTCTTAAACTTGCTATATAGTTGAGACTAGCCTTGAACTTGTGATCTTTCTGCCGCCACCTCCCTGAGATGACAGGAACACACCACCATGCCCAGCTTTCAGTTCCCCTCACGGTGATGTGAAGCACAGCCGCGTTCCCAATCTCATCACAGTTCTCTAGATTCTGTGAGGCCGGCTTTGCATGGGCCGTCTTAGCTTAGCTGCAGGTTGCTGTGGCTGTTCTGAGCCGGGCTGAGGTGGGGTGTCCGGAGGTGTATTCAGTACACCTCCCCTTGCCTCCCCACACTCATCGTGGCTTGCCGGGACACTGACAGCATTTGAAGTTGAGGAGCACCAGCTTTTACTAAGATGTTAGGCAGGAGTTGAGGCAGAAGCCTGGGTTCCTGGTGGAAATGAGGAAGAAGGGCCAAGGGGAAGGAAGGGCTCAGTTTGGAGTGCTTGTGGGCAACTGGCTAGAGTCTTCAGTTCAGAAGGCAGGGAGAGCTAGAGAGCCATGTCAGTGTCCCTAACCACTGACCCTTCCTGCCCAGGACTAGCAGAGGGTTGACTTTCCTTCCCATGGGATCCTCTTCTCCATCTCAGTGACCCTCAGTGACCTTTTCTGCCCAGACTGGCCTGAGAAGTTTGAGTAGACAGGGGGCTAAGAGGACAGACCTGGTGCTGAGGTGGGGAGGGGCCACCTTCACCCCCATGTCTCTTTTCTTGGCCCCAGAAATGCTACATTCGCCATTGCCCTGTGCTGGCAGCAAGCCCAGCGGAGACACCCCAGACGTCTTTATCAGCTACCGGCGGAGTTCGGGTTCCCAGCTGGCCAGGTGAGGCGGGTGGGCAGGTGGCTGGGGTTTGGGGCGGGGCCACAGTGTTGACCCTGTTTCTTCAGCCTCCTGAAGGTGCACCTGCAGCTGCACGGCTTCAGCGTCTTCATCGACGTGGAGAAGCTGGAAGCCGGCAAGTTCGAGGACAAGCTCATCCAGAGTGTCATGGCAGCTCGAAACTTTGTTCTGGTGCTATCTGCTGGGGCGCTGGACAAATGCATGCAGGACCATGACTGCAAGGACTGGGTGCACAAGGTAGGTGCTGGCCTGGGCCTCTGTGGTGAAACACTGTGTGGGTGGAGGAGACGAAGCTTTCCCCTCATCCCACGCCCCCGCCACACTCAATCCAGATCATCTTTCTGACTTGGCTGAAGTCAGGAGCCATTGCTGAGTCTGGAGTAGGATTTTAGCTACCTAGGCTCTCGCAGCCTCAGTTTTCTCATCTACAAGGTAAGGATGGCTTACCTGTCCTATTCGTGTGTAAGGTTGTACAGTGAGACCAGGGAGGGATAAAAATGCATGCAAGATACAACATCTGTGAGCTGCATATGGTGGTGCATCCTATAATCCCAGCACTCGAGAGGCAGAGGCGAGATCACCTCAAGTTCAGGACCAGCCATGTCTAGTTATCTATTTCTGGACAAGCCAGGGCTACCTAGGAAGACCCTCTCTCAAAACCCAAAGTAAACCCCAAAACAAGACCCTTCACAAGGATCACCTGAAGTCATCAGAAAACACAGACATTTACATTATGATTCATAATGGTAGCACAACTGCAGTTATGAAGTAGTAACAGTAATAGTTTTATGGTTGGGTCACCACAGCATGAGGAACTGTACTAGAAGACTGTAGCATTAGGAAGTTGAGCCACTGATCTAAGATATTGTTAAAAGGACCCAAAGGGCTCAATTAGGAAGCCTTCAGCAGAAAGCCTGGCACATAATGGCAGCAATTATTATTATTAATTGAATTTTTGTGTCTGCATCTGTTTAATTCACCATTGTACCTCCAGTGAATGATTTAGCCCACGCAGAAGGCACAGACCACGGATCCATAGCACACCTATAGATTAACAGTCATGCATCGGTCAGTCAGAATCGGAGCCTGGGCTGAGGGATGCAGTAGCCAGCTGAGGTTTGGTTGCCTCCATGCAGCCGAGGACAAGGATATGGCCACAATGAGCCTGAGCTGTGGCACTGGCCTGTAGACCCAGCCACTCAGGAGGCTGAGGCTGGATGATGGCTTTGAGCCCAAGACCTTATCTCTTAGAGACAGAACAAGACAATGAGGCTGGAGAAAATGCTGTGTTATCGATGAGGACCAGAGTTAGTTCCCAGCACTTACAGCCTCCTGCGATCCCAGTTACAGGCCATCTAAGGAAATCTTTTGCCCTCCCAGGGCACCTGCACTTGTGTGCACACCACACAATCACACACACACATGCCCCTCACATGCTCACACAAGCATGCATATGCACATAGACATACACACAAATACACGTAAAGTAAAAAATAGAGCTGGGGGTGTTAGCACATGCCTTTAATCCCTAAGTTAGGGTTTCTTATTCATGTGAAGAGACATCATGGCCCTGGCAATTTTTTATTTATTTATTTATTTTTGGTTATTCAAAACAGGGTTTCTCTGTATATCTCTGACTGCCCTGGAACTTGATTTGTAGACCAGGCTGGCCTCGAGCTCACAGAGATCCTCCTGCCTCCGCCTCTGCCTCTGCCTCCCTGAGTGCTGGGATTAAAGGACTCACCCAGATGCTTAGGAGAGGCAGCCAGGCTTGGACAACACAGCCCTGGATGCGCTTGAACTCTGAAGGCCCGGAGTCCTCCCCGGCTGCTTGTTTGAGGGGCTTGGGAGGAAGCACCTTCCGCTCTTGGCTTCCCTCCCCGTTTTCTTATGATGATGAGGCTCCAGGAGCACAGTCTATGTGAAAGCCCATAGCTCTCTTCCCAGGCTCCACCACTGAGCCTGGTGAGGGTGGAGCATCCAGGCAGCTGGCGTGGCTCGCTCCTTGGATTTTGTCCCAAAGCCTGTCATTCTCTTGGTTTGCTTGTGGGGCCTAATTGTCTCTGGTTTTCATACTCCCTTCCCGGAAGCCACATTTAGTGGCTAATCAATACACAAACCCACAAGTGAACTGCACTTTAAAAAGTCCCATCCCTGATGGGACTTGAAAGGTAGAACCCATTTGGTAAGTGCTTACCAGATCACTATTAACGGTGAATAATGTCCCTGAACAGTCTGTGGGGCAAGTTTTACCTCTGTACTTTACAGAGAAGGAGCCCATTATTTCCTTTTTTAAAAAATTATTTTTCCCTTTTTTGGAGATAGGGTATAGCTATGTATACCCCAGGCTAGCCCCAAATTCACAATCCCCCCACCTTAGCCTTCCCTTGTGCTAGGATTACAGACCTGAGCCATCACACCCCACTGCTCCTTAAATATGCAGTTTTAAGAGCTAGCCCCTGCTCTACTCACTTGCTGTGGAGCGTTGCCATTATTCCACCCAACAACCCTGTAAGATCACTGCCTGGCATTAACCCCGAGCTCCATATTGGAAAACAGACTTTGACAGCCCATTATCCTAGCCTTGGGTCGCAGAGCCTGTGTTGGAGACCCCACACAGTCCTTATTTCTTTTGAGGTTGTAACCGAACACTGGACAGGAAGAAACTCCGGGGAGGAAGGGTTTATTGTAGCTGACAAAGCAGGGGCGACCTCCATTGTGGTAAGGAAAGCCAAGAGGTCAGCGGCAGGGGGAGACTGCTAGCTCTCACCTTTGGAGCAGGAGGCAGAGGGCGTGACATTCATCTGGCTTTCTCCCCCTCCCCGCCCCTGCAGTCAGTCTGGGACCTCAGCCCATGGAATGGTGCCAGCTACATTCAGGGCAGTTGGTCCCCCCTTAGTTATTCCCTCCCCTCTAGAAACACCCTAATAGACACGCCCGAAGATATGAGCCTCACTAATGCTCTGCGTGTTTTACAAATGCATTCTGCTTGTGTGTGTGTGTGTGTGTGTGTGTGAGAGAGAGAGAGAGAGAGAGAGAGAGAGCATGCGTGCACACACATGTACATGCACACGAGTACATGTAACAGCACAATGAGGAAATGGGGAACAACCCACATGAATCAGTTCTTTCCTTCCACCATGGAAGCGACTGATCCCAGGTTGCCAGGCTTTGTGGCAAGCATCTTTGCCTGTTGAACCATCTCACTGGCTCTCAGGGGTTTTTGCTCATTTGGTTTCTTGAGACAGGGTTTCTCTGTGTAACAGCTCTGACTGTTCTGGAACTCACTCTGTAAACCAGGCTAACCTTGGACCTTCTGGGTAATTCTGTTTTGTTTTTTGTTTTTATTGAGCTATACATTTTCCCCACTCCCCTTCAACTTTTTTTTTTAAATCCAAAAAAGTCAACAATCAAAATTAACAATCAAAATGAACCCGGATTCTTTTTATTTCGGAATACAGCCCCCAACTACTATGTGTATCGCTTCATGCATTCATCCGTCCAGTCAGTACTCAAGAAGGGCTGACTGTGGGCGGGGCTTTGTGAAAGATGCCAAGAAGTATGGTTAATGAAAACCAGGCACGCCCCTGCCCTTAGTCACCTTGTGACACCAGGGAGAAGAAACTTCAACTACATCACCCCTGAACTGAATTAGTTGAAGTTTGCCGCAGAGCCGGTGGGAACCCGCACGGGAGAGCTGACTTGATCGGGATGTTCAGGCAGGTTCCTTGGGGAAGTACTGATTGAGCTTAGACCAAAGCCGTGAGTGGATCTAGGTGGGAGAGCAATGGTCTAAGGAAGAGAGGCAAGGTGAGAGATCAGAGTGGTAGAACCTTGGTGCTTACTGAGTTCCACCCCCATGGTCTATGAACCACCCTGGATGCTCTTCAGCCCCACTCATGAGGGGATCTTGTGGAGGTTTTAGACAGAGGCACAGCTGATGAAATTGTCACTACTGGCACTGAACTCATCCTGCAGCCCCTCCTGAAAAGTGGGTGGACCTCAGAAGTCCTAAGCCCCGTGCTGTGGTTGGTCTTTCTGATACCCAACCCCCATCAGGAATTTTCTAGGCCACTTCCCCCATCCAAACTCTGGCTAGGATCATGGCAATAGTAAAATTACACTCGGGAGACTCCAGTAGTTTTAGGCGCTCTAGGCACGCCTGTCCCGGATAAAGACACACGGTTTATAAATCACCGTGAAAGCTGAGAGCAGCCAGGGTACGTTCCAGAGGGTCTCAAACCAGGGGTGCTCTCACTTGTGGTGACCTCAGGGTTGTTGGGTGGGATGGAGGTCTTGTGTCGGTCAGATCTCCATCACATGACAAACATCCAGGACAGTCAACAGGAAAGGGAAGATTTACTGTGGTCCATGGATGCTGAGCTTTTGGTCCATGCTCACTTGGCCCTGCTGCCTTGAGTCCTGCTGTGAAGAAGAACATTCACGGTGGCCAGGAGGCACAGAGGGGGAAAGGCGCAGGGTACCTTTCTAGGGATACCCCTTCCTGCCCCCCCCATGACCTACTTTATGCAATCAGTCCCCACTCCTGACATCTTCACCAATTCCCAACAGCGTCATCTGCTGGGGACTGAACATCCAAGACATGAGCTTTGCAGGGGTTATTCAAGATCAAACCACAACAGTCTCTTTCTCCTTCTTTTCCCAGGAGATTGTGACTGCTTTAAGCTGTGGCAAGAACATTGTGCCCATCATTGATGGCTTTGAGTGGCCCGAGCCCCAGGCACTGCCTGAGGACATGCAGGCTGTGCTTACCTTCAACGGCATCAAGTAAGACCCAGGGAGAGTTAAGGAGCTGTGTGTGTGTGTGTGTGTGTGTGTGTGTGTGTGTGTAGAAAATGGCGCTGGCCCACAGCAGCCCCTGCCCACCCTCTGACCCATTTGGCCTCTGTGTCCACAGATGGTCCCACGAGTACCAGGAGGCCACCATCGAGAAAATCATCCGCTTCCTTCAGGGCCGCCCCTCTCAGGACTCCTCTGCCGGCTCTGACACCAGTCTGAACGGAACTGCACCAATGGGTCTGCCTTAGCCTGTCCCCAGTTCCCACGCCCTGCAGTGACCCCTGGTTCCATTATCTCCCCACCCTTAAAGGAATAGCTCCTCTAGAGCCGCCCTGGGCTGAGGCAAACCAGACCCTTCTCAGGAAATGGCTTTCCCTGCTGCCACACAGTGGCCCACTTCTAACCCAGAGATTCCAGGCACGGGGTTAAATGAGAGGACTCCTCTGTCAGGCCCTGCCTTCAGGTCCCAACATCCCATGCCCCCGCTTAGTTCTGGACACTCAAGATAGTATCTCTGGTCTCCTGCCCAAGAGCAGCCAGCTCGAGTAGGGTGAGCTTGGCAGACCCTGGCAGGAGTCAGGACAATACCTAGGCCCTCTATTTGGGCCCAGGAGGCATCTGGGGTTGAGGATCCCCCAAAAGCTGTCTACTCACATTGTGCCTGGCCCCTGGCTCACCTGGATTCCTGCTGCCTCATGGCCTTGCTCTAACTACTTAGTACCCCTGCCAGATTTCTTTAGGCAGCCTCCTTTGCCATACTGGGAGTCAGGGTCCATCTGAGCTGGCACTCTGCCTGGCCTTGCTGCCCTTTCTGGTGCAAGAAAGGACCCTTACTTGTTCAGGGAGACCGTAAGAATCCACCCTAGCCCAAACCTCTGTGCTGTGCCTAAGGCTCTTGCCTGGCCTGTTCTACCTGGCTTCTCCAGCTCCTCATCCACACAGGGCTAAGAGAAGGAGACCAGGGAAGCTTCAGCAGCACCGGTAGCCAGGGCAGAGCCTGCACCCTGGGAAAGAGGCAAGACCTTTGCAGACAAGGGCCAGTTCGTTGGGCCGTCTCTCCCACAGAAGTGTGTCCACATCCGCTGGGAATCTTATCAAAACACACAGCAAGCCATCTGGGAAGTTCCTGAGCCGCTGCCATCTGCAGATTCCCACGGGAGCTCATGCAAGGTCCTCACCAGCCCCTGTCACGTTCCAAACACCCCAGTCTGGTTCCTAACCCTCCCTGGAGGCTTTTCCAGTCCTGTCACCCCAGTTTTACAGAGAGGAATGGCTGAGTTATAGGCCCAGGTCCCCAAATCAGTGGTGGCAGCCTCAGATTCTGCCCTAGTCCTGACACCCAGCACCAGTGTCCAGCCCATTGGCTTTTGCCAATACCCAGCCTCCAGCTTGGAGTCAGCTGGCATCACCCTGCTGCTGACCTCTGGGGTCACACACTTCTCCAGAAGCTGGCCAGGTTACTTGCCCTCAGTCCCCACTGTCAGAGAGTCAAAGGGCTTTCTCTCCAGGCTTAGGGACACCTTCTCCTTGACTGTCCTTCTTGCCAAAGACCCCATCGTCCATGGGTCATGGCTGGCCTCTGGCTGTGACTATCTGTAGTCCTGGTCCTGCCACCAGTACCAGCCCACACCCTGTTCTGAGGTGAGGCAGATGGAATGGTACCCTTGATGACGAAGTCAATAACGATACAGTGTGAGTTCCTCCAGGGAAACCTATCTATCTCCAGTCCACACTTTCCAGAGGGCCCCGTGGGCAGCACTCAAGAAGTTTCTGGGTTTTCTTATTTGGGACACAGGTCGCTACTACCTCTGTTGTCTGGCCTTCCGTTGACCTGTCCCCTCCTGTCTTCCTGGAGAACCAGAGCACAGCCTTCTGCCCCAGTCAGGGTAGTAGTGCCAAGCCTCCTCTAGCAAGGTACTCTGCTCTGTAGTGACACAGCTCAGACTGCAGGCCGAGCTAAGCAAGGCTGACCACACTGACCTCAAGACGGGCTCTTCAGTAGCCTTTCGGGCTGCCCAGGTTTGCATGGTCTGTGGGTGCAGCGTTTTCTGCCTGGCTGGGCTATATAGCTGTTGTCCCAAGCTGGAGCTGAGTCAGGGTGGTCACTACACTACACCCCTACCCCTCTCTAGTGGGCGACATTAAGAGGGTAAACATCCAGCCACAGTGAGTCATCCCTTCACTAGGCATCTCATCCTGGGGTGCAGGGAGATGGAGGGATCCAGAGCATCCGACCACTGTGCTTCCTAACATCCAATTAGAGGGACCCTTGTAACCAGACAGTTTGGGTGGAAAGCCGACCCAGCTTTCTTTATTCGAGGTCAAGATGCCAGAGTGGAGCCTTTCCTTCCTCACAGTGGCAGGGTCAGTAGAAGGCCTCTTCTTGCTGAGTTCCCACCTCCAAGGGGGCAGTGAGGCAGGAGTGGACCCCGCTGCAGCTCAGTGGGCCTTAGAGGGGCAGTGAGGCAGGAGTGGACCCCACTGCAGCTCAGGGGCCTTAGAGGGACAGTGAGGCGGGAGTGGACCCCACTGCAGCTCAGGGGCCTTAGAGGGACAGTGAGGCGGGAGTGGACCCCACTGCAGCTCAGGGGCCTTAGAGGGGCAGTGAGGCGGGAGTGGACCCCGCCACCTTAGTTTTCCCTGGAGACTTCTCTTTCACTTGCAGGGTGGGTGGTAGGTGCAGGTGCAGGGTCTAGCTCTCACGGACAGTCCCGGCTGGAACCCTAACAAACCTCCCACTTTGGTCCGGCTTGAAGAGGACTGCCAATTGCCAAAAATCAGCAGCTTTACAACAGGCCAGAGTCTGCCTCTCAGCTCTGGGCAGGAAGGATGGTCCCAGTGCACGGCCCTGCTCAGCACTGAACTAACTACATGGAGGGCCAAATGGCAGCCAGCAGAGATCTTGCTGGGGCTGGTGGAGCCATGAAGCCAGCGGGGTAGTGACTCAACAGACCCACAGGAAGGAGCAGCTAGGGCTGGGGCCCAAGTGTCTCCGCTGCTCTGAGAATGTCTCAGAAGCCCTTCACCCGTCAGCACCTTAGAGAGCTGGAGCTCTAAGGGACATGCCTGGGACTATCCCTGCAGGCAGCTCAGGAACTCCAGCCCAGCAGCTGCTTGTGTCTGACCTGTGCCAAACAGGCCGAGAGCGGGAAGACAGAAAGCCCCAAAGCCCAGTGACTCTTCAGTCTGACTCAAATGATTTATACTGTGACAACTGACAAGCTGAGGTCAAAGGTGAACAGGCTGAGGTCAAGGGTGAACAGGCTGAGGTCACGGTGAATAGGCTGAGGTCAAGGGTGGACAGGCTGAGGTCAAGGGTGGATAGGCTGAGGTCACGGTGAACAGGCTGAGGTCAAGGGTGGATAGGCTGAGGTCAAGGGTGGACAGGCTGAGGTCATGGTAGACAGGCTGAGGTCACAGTGGACAGGCTGAGGTCAAGGGTGGATAGGCTGGGGTCACGGTGGACAGGCTGAGGTCAAAGGTGAATAGGCTGAGGTCAAGGGTGGATAGGCTGAGGTCAAAGGTGAACAGGCTGAGGTCAAGGGTGGACAGGTTGAGGTCAAAGGTGAATAGGCTGAGGTCAAGGGTGGATAGACTGAGGTCAGGGTGGATAGGCTAAGGTCAAAGGTGAACATGCTGAGGTCACGATGGACAGGCTGAGGTCACGGTGGACAGGCTGAGGTCAAAGGTGAACAGGCTGAGGTCACGGTGGATAGGCTGAGGTCAAGGGCTAATTCCCATACACAGACAGTGCTTCTCCCTCTGGGACCAAGTCTCCCCACAGGTACCACACTTATCATTAGGGTGACTGGAGGCCACAGCACTCATCACGGACCTAGTCCCATGGGCTGGAAGGAGAGGTCGGTCCCCATGCTTCAGGTGGTCCCTGAAGTGCTGTCTCCTTCATTTTGGAGGCTTCTGAATCACAAATAGCTTAAAAGGGGGGGAAAAAAAAACACCCTTGCCTCAAATGGCTCCCTGCAGCCTGCACTGAGTGGGCGTATCCTGGTCAAGACTATAGATCCTATGCAGGGACTGGCTCAGTGGGAGACCAGATGATGCCCATCACTGGCTTGACCACCCTGTCCAAAGTGAGTACCGCCCTCAGAGGGCTGGCTGGTGTGGGTCCACTGTTCCATGGCCTCGAGCGGATCAGGAGCTCTGCGGAAACTGCTGGAATTCAGGATGTGGAATAGCTTTCTCCAGTACCCTGCGAGAGACCAGAGAGATAGTTCAGGATAAGCCCATTCTAGAGAGGTGACATGGGACTGACTTGGGTGAGCAGCTCCAGGTGTGTCCCTTCCCAAGCCAACAGGCATAGGACAATGTCCATAGGCAGAGGACTCTGGAGAAGAACTCTCACGACTTCAGTGGGTCAGTCTAACCTGGGGCTCAGCCACAAGTAGCCGAGTAAGTTTTCTTTCTGTTAACACAATTCGAGGATGGGGCAAGCTGAGGGGCCTGAGGGAGAGAACACAGCCTTGTCAAACAGTAGTGTTAGCCTGGCCCCTCGCTACATGGCTCTACCTTACTTTGGAGATGGCCCCTAAAAGATCAGGCAGCCACCTGCGTGGGGTAGGGTCAGCCCAGGATGCCATACCCAAAGGACAAGGATTCCAGAGGCAAAGCTGCCATTTTCAGTTAGGAGCGGGGGAAGGAGGAAACCTCTCGGAAATTAAGACACCATGATGAACAGGCAAGGTCAGGGCCCTCCATTACCCAATCAGAATGGCTGGGATGAAGAGGAGGCCAGCTCCCAGGAGGAAGGGGAAGCCCTTCATGAAGTTCAGAGTGGCTGGGTAGAGCGAGTTGAAGACGCTAGAGGCCACCAACATGGCCAAGCTGTTCACACAGGCCACCGCAGAAAAGAGAGCACCTGGGAGGGAAGAGACACCATGCTTCAGAGCTGGAAAAACCCAGGGTCAAGGGAGGGCAGTGCCACCTCACAGCTGCATGACCTGGGCGGGACACCTGCGTCCCTCACCTGTGCCTCCCACTCTGTGCTGTGGTAAAGACTCTATGACGTTACACACAGGAAGTGCCTGGCAGAGGGGCTGTTAGACACATAGCTGTCAACTGTTATTAAATTCACAGAAAAGCCCGCGTGGTGCCTCCTACTTTAAAAAAACCCTACTTTATTTAATGTGTATGGGTGCTCTGCCTGCATGTGTGCCTCCGGGCCACGTGCATGCCTGGTGCAAGAGCAGCCAGTGTTATTAAATGCTGAACCATCTCCACAGCCCCAGCTTGGTTTGTTTTAAGAAATGGTCTCGGGTGCAGTCCTCCTGTCTCAGCCTCGAGTGCTACGATTACAAGGCTGTACCACCATGACAGCTTCTTTAAAAAATGTGTTATTATGTTCACGTCACTTGTGCCAGGCATGTGTGTGGTGGTCAGAGAACAACTTTCAGCAGCTGGCTCTCTTCTCCCACGTGGGCCCTAGACAGCGAGCTCGGGGCATCACGTGCGGTGGCAAGAGCTTGAAAGCCTGCCGAGTCTTGCCAAGCTACACATGATGTCTACGAGAGCTTGCCAGCTTCCCTTCCTGAAGCGTCATTTGATCCCATGTTCCACACTCACAGCCATGCGATTGCTGAGGCGCTGAACTTTCTGGGTCGCTGCTCCGCCTTCTGTGTACGAAGGACAAGAGCTACTGCGTGGACTGCCAGTAATTTTAAAATGGAGAGTACCTATCACAGGTGACCTCCGAGAGGGGCCTGCTATTTTTTTTCCCATACTGGGTACACAGTGAAACCTGCTGGGTGGGAAAGATCCACTGCCTGCAAACATGGTGAAACGCGACTGTAATGCCAGCTCTTGGGAAGCTGAGGCAGGAGGATTTTACTTCAAGGCCAGCTTGGGCTACTTAGCAAGAAGATCCTGTTTCAAAATAAACAAAAGCAAAAGTATATTGAATGAATGAGGCGTTTTAGCAGACACCCGAGCCTGTGCCAGAACCCGGCTTTGTAACCCAGTTGTTGCAAACTGAGCAACAACACAATAGATACAGAGATTCAGCTGCCAGACTCTAAGGGTCTACAATGTCCTGGGGAACAAAGTCCTCATGTCACAGATGAAGAAACAGGTTTAGAACAAGCTAGGGCTGGAGCCCAGTTACAAGACCAAGTGCTCTTAAAAACACATGGAACAGAGGTGTGTGCGGGGAAGGGTGTGTATGCGTGTGTATCTAGCTGGGTGAGCGGATGAAGCACCTATGCTATCATGAGGAACAGAGTTCTAATGCCCTTAACCACAAGAAAGTTAGGTGGGTGTGGTGGGCACCTGTAATCTCAGGGCTTGAGAGGTGGAGACAGGAAATCCACGAGGCAAGTAGCTAGCTAGACTGCCCAAGTCAAAAACTCCATGTTCCTCAAGACACTGAAGTCACATACATGTGAACACATACACATATGCACGCACGCATCCCTTCCCATTGTTTACTGAACAACCTTGAAGAACTCAGTTTAACCCTCTAGGCCTCCCTTTCTTCATCTGACAACTGGGAACAAAGAAATCTCTGGCAGAGGCTGTTTATTCCCTCTGGGCCTGCACCCTCTGACCCCAGCATGGCAGGAAACCCTGGTATCATCACACCCACTTCACAGATGGGAAAGGGAAGCTCTGAAGAGATAAGCTCTGCTGTGCTGCTGTGGTTACTCAGAACTGGATTGTGCTCTACTGACAGCAATCTTAGTTCTGAGGAACAAAACCCCACAGCATTGGTACCTAGCCAGCTCTGAGCACATGGCGGAAGAGCATCTGTCTTGCCTGCTCACTCCTCCAGGTTTGAGGGTAGAAGGCAGACCCTCCTTGGCCAGAACTGCCCATCCAGGCAACACTGGACATGAAGGACCAGGGACAGATGACTCTGACACTCACCATGCTCCGACTCGCTCACCAGCTTGGAAAGCTTGGCCCGGATGACAGGTGTAATCATCAGTGACAGGAAAAGCAAGCCATATCCTGCGAGAGAAACACTGGTCAGGAAAGAGCCATCAAGGACGGGTGTCCTGAGAGCAGCTGGGCTCCTACATACAGCCCAGGAAGGGCAGATGTGGACCCGAGGAAAGGACAGCACTTTCCCCAGCTCACGGCTCATCTGCTCACTCTTTCTACATGAGAGCTAAGCCCTACCAACTGCTTCCTCAGAACACCTCCAGTGGCCACGTGGTACTACGGGGGAGATGACAGGACCCAGAAAATGAGTATAGGCTTTGGGGTTGGCCCTGAGTTCAAACCCTGTTACCACTGCTTACTGTGTGTGTGACCTTGTCTACTGGACTTCCCTGAACCCATCTCCTAGCTTGTAAGAGGAAAACCATAGGCCTCTGTCGGAGGGTGGTTGACTAACAGCCTCAAAGACAGGCCCTGAACCTGTAACCTGTCTTCTGTGGCGAATGAGTCTTTACAGGTTTAAGCAGGAAGGACCTTCAGGGAAGCTCTCCCTTCTATCAGACTGATAAAGATGTGTCCAGTCTCGAAGGAGGCCTGCCACAGCAGTCTCAAGCCATTGGGATAGAGCTTCTCCAGTGTCCCTGAGGGAGCAGGGACATTCTGATTTCAGCCGGGGCCTCTAGCACTGAGAGACTACCAGCTACACAATGTGTGGGAATTTCCTTCAGCCACCTTGGGATAAGGAGGTGGCATCGGTGAAGGGCGAGAGTTGAGGGCATACCATGTGAGTTCCTTTGCTCCTGCCATCCAGCTACCTATAGGCATACGATGTTTGCAATTCTGCTGAGACTCTGTGGTACAACGTCTTTATCTCAGCACTTCTGAGGGCTGTGGCCTTGAGCGAATGGTCCCCGTCCCCGTGGCTTCACTGTTGGTCCAGCAGTGGAGTTAACATAGCTGCTGGCTGTCAAGACAGATGACTGCACAATGCAGAGCCAGGCTCCAGCAAGAATACTTTTTATTTTTAGAAAGTTAACCTCTGGGATTGGAGAGATGGCCCTGTGGTTAAGAGCACTGATTGCTCTTCCTGAGGACCCAGGTTCAATTCCCAGTACCCACATGGCAGCTCACAACTCCAGTTCCGGGGCATCTGGCACCCACACACAGATATGCAGGCAAAACACCAATGCACATAAAATTTAAAAAAAAGAAAGCTAACTTCTTCATTTTCTAGCCAGCTACTCCTCTTTTCAGGAGAGCGGGGAGGGGAGCAGCAGCAAGAGGAAGGAAAGGAAGAGGAAGCAAGTCAGCAGGAATGTTAGAAAGTCTGGCGTTTTAACAAACACAAAAGAAGGCAGAGTAAGGTTGTTAAGGCCTGTGAGTCCCCGGGAGGTAGAGGCAAAAGGATTGTAAGTTCAAAGTCATCTTCAGCTACGTAGAAAATCACTTGGTCAAGTCTGAGCCTGTCTCTAAACAAATAAACAGGGATCCCTGAGGAAGGGCCCTGCCATTCTTATCCAAGAGCCAAGGATCAAGACATTAGCAGCATGGACTTTGCTTAAGAACACTGTAAATAAGGCATGAGAGGCCAAGGGCTGAAGCAATTAGCTCATGAGCTATGCTCTTGTCTTTGCTCTACATTCCTAACAATATTTATGATTGATAACGTGCACTAATTACTTTAGCCACTGACGCTTTATATTTTCTGTAAATTAGAGAAGGTATTTTTCTGGGGTTTCTCAGTTGTCTGTCCTCTGCACAGGCTGAGAGTGTAACTCTGGGTCCAAAGACACAGGCTTGAGGCTTGAACCACATTTGGGAGCAATGTGTGCATGGCCCCGTTTTCAGTTTACCTGTAAACATGAGGGGTGTGGTGGTGGCAAACGCAAAGACCACCATGGCCAGGATGTTGAAGAACAGGCCGATCTCAGCCACCCAGGTGTCTGCCAGGCAGTACTGTAGAAGTTTTAGGCCTACCAAGCTGGTGAGGTAGGGTATGTGCTGGGCTGCCGAGCCGTAGCCAACCAGCTTGGAGTCCCAGCAGAGGGGTGTGCTCAGCTCATACAGCGTCATGATGTCTTGGGCCCCAAAGTGCACAGTGACAACAACGAAGATAGCCAATGAGTACAGGGCTAGATGCTTCCTGGACTTCTCTGGGGCTGGGACCGCATACAGCCGGAAAATGGATCGGTGATGGCGGAGCGTGAAAAGCCTGGTGGACTTTGGCTCCTTCACTGTCTCACCAAAACAGAATGCTGCATACAGAGTCAAGACGATCAACAGGGCCAAAGCCAGCCAGAAGGGGTTGGCATAACCCTGGGCCCGGAGCCAATGACCCCCAAGAAGGCTTGCCAGGGTCCCAGCCACACCAATGCATGCTTCCAGCAGAGCCATGCGGAAGGTGCGACTGTGTTTAGAGCTGACGTCCGCCACAGAGGCAAAGCTAGCGGCCAGGAGGCCATTGAAGTCTCCTAGAAGGGCACAAAGGGCTCGGCCAAGCACGAAGAAGCCAACGTGCAGTTGCAGCTGCACCACAAAGATGTACACCACGACCTGGACCAGCAGGCCAAGAGAGGACAGCACCAGCAGTGGGCGGCGACCCACACGGTCACTCCAGGCTCCCAGAAGGGTGGACCAGAAAAGTCCCACCAGGAAGCCGCCCAGGTTCATGTAGAGGGTCCAATGGGAAGTCAGGGTCTCCACTTCCTGTGAAAACAGAACCGTCAGGGCGTAGGCCCTTGATTTGGTTAGCTACCATCATCAACCTGGCAGCTACAGGGTTGAGGCTTTGCTTTGGAGCCCTAAGCCTCTTGAAATGTTCGTTGAACTCTTAAAAAACGGGCCTCGAAGAAGCATTCCCTCCATCTCCGCACTTGGATTAACCCTCCAGGCCAGGCATTCTCTGAATCCACTACCTGCACCCCCAAGCAGTCAGCACGGGAGGCCCCCTTTGCTCTAGCTCCGCCCACCATCCTCCATGTGCGTCCCCCCTTCCAGGGACCCCATCTTCCACAGGCCTCGACCCGTGCCGTGCTCCGCGTTCACAACCCGGTGGTCCCCGCTACCTGCATGACGGGATCCGCGCTTTGGTTCCCGCAGTTTCCCCTGTGGCGCGTGCCATTGTAGCCGAGCTCGGTGCTGAACCGGTGCCACAGGTACTGCGTGGTGAGCGGGCCTTGCAGGACCACGGCAAAGTTGGCCAGGAAGACGACGGGCTCCACGGGGCCGCGGAACAGCACGGCCGCCCAGGGCATGCTGCGGGACGAGCCCTTGGGTTTCGCGCGCCCCTCCATGCACGAACGCAGAGGGGCTGGCACCTCCGAACCAGCTGCGGGAGGCCCGGGTCAGTCAGCACTGTCTGCGCCGGCGCGGGCCTCCTACTCCTCTCCCAGTTAAAGTCTGGAGGGGCGGGGCATGAGATCTCAGCCTCCAAAACTTTGGCCTGGGTGCTCTCGGCTGGGTGTAGTCGAGTTAGAATCCTTGCTGGGTGACCTCACTCCAAACAGCGCAAAGATACCGCCTTGCTGTAGTCCTCCCTCCTGGACCTAGGAACACTCAAAAGAATAATTAGAGTATCAATAATTAACATTTATCGAGCATTCACTTTATGCTGGGGCCAGAAATTCTGAGTGTATTATCCATCTCGTGGCAACCTTATAAACTAGCCATTTATTGGTCCGAATTCAGAGATTGGGAAGTCAGGTCAATGGATACGCAGGGCTAGAACGCAAGACTGCTGTGTGGCCTCTACAGCGCTGCCTAGGGGCATCTGTACGAGGGCTGGAGCCTGCTGGCTCGCACTGAAGCACTTGGCCTGCAAGAAAAGAAGAAAAGCTGCGTGGAGGCGGGACCGGTTGGCACATGCTTTTAATCCCAGCACACTAGAAACAGAGGCAGGTGGATCTCTGTGATTTTTTTTTTTTTAAGATTTTTGAATCAGGGTTTCTCTGTGACTTTTGGAGCCTGCCCTGGAACTAGCTCTTGTAGACCAGGCTGGCCTCGAACTCACAGAGATCCGCCTGCCATTGCCTCCCGAGTGCTGGGATCTCTGTGATTTTTGAGGCCTGTTTGGTCTACACAGATAATTACAGACCAATCAAGGCTTTATAGTGAGATCTTATCTTGAAAAAGAACAAGATCTGGTACCTTAAAAGTGCCATTACTATTTATATATACTTTCAGACCAGGTTAGCCTCAAACTCATAGAGATTCTCCTGCCTCAGGCTCCTAGGTAATGGGATTAAAGACATGCCCCCTTGCTGTTATACTCGATAGTTATGGCTATTAATGATTGGTAGGTTGTCCCTTGCCCCTGCTCCCGCCCTGGGAGCCTTTCCTGGTTCTGCAGCTCCCTTAGAGAGCAGAGTAGAGACCAGATGAGTGAGGGCATCGTTGAGGCTCCATGGTTGAGGCTCCTGGGTATGGTCCTGAGCTTTTGTGTGTTCCGGGTTGTAGGAACTGGGCCAGGAAACAGATGCCTGCACTGTTGCTGAGCAACGCCTACTTCCTGCCTGTCGGGGCTTTTGTGTTATTGCTTGAGAAAGGAATTCACAGCCTCCATTTCTTCGTTCATTCATCTCGAGCCCTAACTGATGGCCGTGGAGGTCAGAACACAACATCGAAGGAAACAGACAAAGCCTCCCCCACCTCCCCACCCCCAATTTGACAGCTTCTAGATTGAGGGCGAGAGACAGAGACCGGACTGAGTAATCAGTGTAGAGTCCAAACATGACAGACACTTTAAAGAGTAGGAATACGGGCTCCTGGTGCTCATGTGGGGACCTGGGAGCAGAGTCACCAAAGTCCCCAAGAACTCCTGTGTGTTACCTGAAGGGCCCTGATTCTTGGGGTGGAAAGTGGTTCCATCTCTGCCTGGGCTGACCAGTGACTGTCATCTTTGAGGCAGTAAGAGTCTAAGGCTCAGAATAAGTGGATGTCAAGTAACCCTCACATGGGCTTCTAGAGAAAGAGAATTCTACTTCAAATAACCAGGCCGCTGTGCACACCCGTCCATCACTCCCCTCTATCCCCGCCCATACAGAGCACAGGAGAGACTGGCTAAAACTGTGGTTCTCAACCTGTGGGTCAGGACCCCACAGGGATCTCATAGCAGATATTTACATTACGATTCGTAACAGTAGCAAAATTACTCTTATGAAGTAACAACGAAAATAATTCTTTGTTTGGGGGTCACCACAACTCGAACTGTATTCAAGGGTCGCAGCATTAGGAAGACTGAGACCCACTGGGCTAAAAACTTGCAACTATTTCCTAGATAGGAGCTAAGGTCAGGAGCGGTCAGGGTCTCAGTGGAGCGTGGGGTAGGGTGTGTGTGTCCCAGTCTACACGTCCATCACCTAGAGGCCTCTCCAGACCCTTTGTTGCATTCACTTGGTAAATGGCGATTCTACACAAGTCTGGCTTGGTGCGTCTGGTCTTATTTACAGGCGCACGGGAGACAGCCGTTTCATCAAAAGGCTCACTCTGGCAGGGATGATGGCCGGCTGGTAGCTGCAGAGCCAGAGTCCCCCTTTCAGTCAGCCTTTAGTCTGTATCCTTTTGTACCCCCAGAGGCATCCTGCAGCAGGGGCAGGATTACAAACCACAGGGAGATGGCCGAGAGGGAAGAAGAAGCCAGACTCTCAGTCATGGCCCGGTCGTCCTCTCCACTACCTCCTTCTTTGAGGGATGCTCAACATTCCTTGAACATAGCTCAGACCATCCAGTGATTTCCACTTCACTAGCGAAAGTCAAGTCATCCTGAACGCCACAGTCACCTGGGCCACCTCCACCCTCTCCTGCTTCACCCACCCCACTCTGGCCTCCCTTCACTCTGGTTTCCCTGGCCTCCACAGGGTCTTTCCAATCTGCCCCTCAATCTTATTCCTGCACCTGCCATTTTCTTTACATCTATCATTTCGTCTACCCGGAATGCTGTTCTCCCAGATGTCCATGCCACTGGCTGCCCCACCTCGGCTAAAAATGTAGCCTGGCCCTGTGATTTATGACAGCCACTCCCTCCCCCTCCTCCTGTTGTTGTGAGTCTCTTGTATGCGTTTGTTGTCTGTCTCCCTTTCCTAGACGCCAAGGATCTTGGGTCCTTCAGTCCTGTATCTCCAGCCACCAGAATGGTACCTTGCACGCGGTAGATGCTCTAAAGCTGTTAAGAGGAAAGGGTTCCCCAGCTGGAGCCCAGGGCCATGCAGAGACCTGCCCATGTGGAGCTGCGCTGGGGAGGACAGAGTCCAAGAATTTATACTTAGAAGGAAGCCACGCGATCACCTGTCAGCCACCCTCTTGGAAGACAGGGAGAATAAAATGACGCTGCCTTTCAAATCTTCAGAGCAGGAACGATGTGATCATGGAGCCGAAGGGCTACAGACCGGCTCCGTTCCAATTTAACACCATAGTTAAAAGGCACACAACAGAGCAGTGCAAAAATGTCTGTCCCCCAAGCCCCTACTGTCTTGTACCAGGGACCTCACACTAACTAAGCAAGCAACTTCTCACTGAGCTAAATCCTCAGGCCCACAAAATGTTCCTTAAAAAGTGTGGTGAGGGGTCTGGAGAGTTGGCTCAGCAGTCAAGAGAGCACTTGCCATTCCTGCAACAGTTTCCACCACCCACAGGGAGGCTCAGTGTCTGTAACTTCAGTCCAGGGACCTGACACTCTGTTTTGACCTCTGCAGGCACCAAGCATACCCACGGTACAGACACACATACGGGTGAACACTCATACACACGAAATGAATCTTTTAAAATGTTTTAAATCATGATGACGAATAAATTTTTTAACTATACATGATAACGGTATTAAGATTTCTCCATATGGGTACTGGAGAGATGGCTCCACAGTTTAGAACACTGGTTGCTCTTCAAGAGGACCCAGGTTCAATTCCCAGCTTTCATATCCTGTGAGTAACAGCCATCAGTAACACCAGTTCCAAGGGAATCTGCTGCCCTCTTCTGGCTTCTTCAAGCACTGCACACGGTACACAGACATGCAGGCAAAACACCCGTCCACATAAAGTAAATGTTAAAAAAAAAAAAAAGACCTAAGCTGCTGGTGGCATATGCCTTTAATCCTAGCACTCAGGAGGCAGAGACAGACAGAGGACAGTCAGTCAGACACAAAAAAATCCCTGTTTTTTAAATTTTTTTTGGGGGGGGGGACAAAAAAATCTTTTTTAAAAAAGCATTTCTCGAGTGGGTGGTGGTGCACGCCTTTAATCTCAGCACTTGGGAGGCAGAGGCAGGTGGATCTCTGTGAGTTTAAGACCAGCTTGGTCTACAAGAGCTAGTTCCAGGACAGGCTCCAAAGCTACAGAGAAACCCTGTCTCGATAAACCAAAATAAACAAACAAACAAATAAATAGCATTTCTCCCTCTTTAGTAATTGGATAAAGACTCAGCCCTCCTGAGAGGTCACTGCACAATACCTTGGGTCACATACACAAGTTCTTCCCCAGCATGTGAACACAACACCACACACACACACACACACACACACACACACGGCTTTAAATAAACAGGAAAGGACGTGACTGCTCCTTGGTATGTTGGAGAGGAAAGTTTGTTGTAAAAGGGAGAGCATAGGCAGAGGCAGGGACATCTGGGGGAGTCCAGAGTGGTTGTAACCCTGAGCCGTGTAAGGATGGGGGCAAGAGGAAGGGAGAGGGGAAAGAAAGGAAGCAGGTACAGCTGCCAGGAAGCCCAAAGAGGATGGGTAACCAAAATGGTTGATTATATAGGAAAGAGCAGCTGGGGGTCCAGAAACAATGTGTGAAGGAGTGTGAACAGGACCAATGTGTGAAGGCGTGTGAACGGGACTCTCTGGAAACAATGTGTGAAGGCGTGTGAACGGGACTCTCCGGGAACAATGAGTGAAGGAGTGTGAACAGGACTCTCCGGGAACAATGTGTGAAGGGGTGTGAAGGGGACTCTCCGGGAACAATGTGTGAAGGAGTGTGAACGGGACTCTCCGGGAACAATGTGTGAAGGGGTGTGAAGGGGACTCTCCGGGAACAATGTGTGAAGGAGTGTGAACGGGACTCTCTGGGAACACTGTGTGAAGGAGTGTGAACAGGACTCTCCGGGAACAATGTGTGAAGGAGTGTGAACGGGACTCTCTGGGGACAATGTGTGAAGGAGTGTGAACGGGACTCTCTGGGGACAATGTGTGAAGGAGTGTGAACGGGACTCTCTGGGGACAATGTGTGAAGGAGTATGAACGGGACTCTCCAGGAACAATGTGATCAAACTTCATCAAGACTCATGCTTTGCTTGGATTTTGGGTTGGTTTTTTTTTTTTTTTTTTTTTGAGACGGGGTTTCTCTGTGTGGTCCACCAAGACTCTTAAATCCTC